GTTAGTTAGTAGTTACGTACGTACGTACGTACGTAGTAGTTAGTTACGTTACGTTACGTACGTCGTCGTCGTCGTCGTCGTGTCGTCGTCGTCGTCTCTCTCTCTCTCTCTCTCTCTCTCTCTCTCTCTCTCTCTCTCTCTCTCTCTCTCTCGCTCCCCTCTGTTGAGGCTCTCAATGAACATCTTTCATTATGTGACTCGATGAATTATGATAGCTATGAGATCTGAGGGCAATGAATTGAAATTTTATACCAATTTCATTGATTATGGTATTTTTGTATATAGTTTTGATTAAAATTCAGTCCCTTGAAATTCGTGTTGCATAGTAATTTGATTTCTAGGTTTAGATTTTATTGTTTTTATTGTGTTTTCAAAATAGTAGAATATGTTGGAAATATACTGATCCATTTCTAGAAATCAAAATCTACTTTTATAAATTGTCATGTGAGCTTTTGTTGTTATTTGGGTCTTGTTCATTGATGGAAAGCTTATATTGTTCAGAGGAAAAAGCGTTTGGTGAATTGGCTGACTAACACTATTCTTGCGCGGTCTCTTTGCAAAATATATCTCAAAGATGTATTTTGGATCCAAAATTTTAGTGTTCAACAATCTCAAGAATGACAATGATCTAAAATTGAAAATTTTCTTTTTCAAAAAATATAAATGTTATTTTTTGAATTCCTTTCTTCCCGTCTCTTTTTAACTTTTAGTGGATGTAACATTTTCCTCTCTTGCGCATTCATCTCTCTCTTTCCCTCTCTCTTGTTTTCATTTAGGTGAATTATTATAGCTATGAGATCTGTAGCACAAATAAAATGAAATTCAGACTTATTGCACACTTTGTTGCTGAAGTAATTTATTGGAATATTTCACCGTAAAATACTTGTTTTTTGGAGTATTATATCATGAAGATATCGGCTCTAGATTGATTTGAAAATCTTATACCTTGTTTAAAATTCTTAAACATTTATGTTTTTGAAGAAAAGTTGCAGAAGCTGATCCTGCTTGAAATCAGCTCAAAACCAGTGGATTACTAAGCACAGATTTACAGTTTTTCCCAATGAGATTAGAGTTTTTGGGACAACGGCGAATTCAGTAATTGGAACAAGCGGTGTTACTTTAAGTGATATTAGGGATAATAAGGTATCTAGAAAGAAGTTGACAAGGAGGGATTGGTATATTCTTTTAACTTTGATTATTGATTGCAGGTTAGAACAATTGGTGTATGCTCTATTTTTCCCTTTTTTTAGTAGAGTTTTTAGTTTGGTACTTGTATTTTTTAATATAAGCAAAATGTGAAGTACCTTTCTTTGTTTTTTTGTGACTTTGAAACCTAGGGTGGTTTTGCACAAATGTCAGCCATTGAAGATTTAAAGGTCACTGTCAGTTCAGAATTATACTGAAAAGATGAAAATGTGATGCATAAACGAAAATCCTTACAAACTCTATAATCTAATTGATTGATAACTTTCCAAAGTTCATGGTTGCTTTCAACTTAGATTGCTTTGATGAATGAGTGCCTGTGGTGTCGGAAAATATGGATGTCTTAAGAGTTTAGATTCTTTGATCTTAAAAATCCACCGTTTTTAGAATGATATCAATGGTCAAGTTTTCACGAAGTAGTTCATAACTTTTTATGTTAAGTTTCGTTAGAAATTTGTAAAATTAAATGAGAGAAACAAATTAAAGCACAATCTTTTTTAATAAATATTATGGAGCTGCAAGAAGGTTTTCCTCAAAGCATCTAAAATCAGATTGGGAAGAAAGAAACACATTTTAGAACATTTCTTTATTAAATAATTTGAAAAATTAAGTTGCGGCGTGATTAATAGCACTAGTACAATAGTCCATCAGTAACTCAAACACGCTGAGTCAAGATCGGTAGTGCAATGTTGGTTAATCTGTAATGGTACTTGATCAAGGAAGTCCCTTTGTAATTTTGTGAAAGGGGAAAAAGGAAAACAGTAAAGACATACATTTGATTAAATTATTTTCTCAAACAATTTTCCATTTGATTTGATTAATTTCTCAAACAATATTTTAAACAGTGTAAACCAGAAAGGTACATTCATCACTAGAAATGTGCAGGCAAAGGGGGTGGTGGCATGGCACAACCTACTTCTCCTTCCTGCCAAAGCTCTCTCTTTGGTCGGTGATTTTGAATGTTTGGGAGAGGATCAATGAGGAGGAGGCAGAGGCATACTCAGAGACGGTTGCATCAGGTTTGATATGAGGAGATGGCATTTGGTACATTCCTTCAACCGTTCTTTCAAAATTAATCCTCCTATATGTATGTCCTTTGGGCCTTCTGCAAGTAGCTGAATGAATGTCAGACGCTATGGGTGGTCTTACAGGCATTGTACATAACTATGTGTGGGCATTGTTCATAATTATGTGTGATGGTTCTCTGGTTCTTATGATCTTAAAGACAACTGCAGGTTGCTCTTTTTGTTCATTCACATATTGTTTAAATTTTTCATGACCAGAATTTACGTGGTTGCTCTTTTTGTTCATTCACATAGTGTTTTAGTTTTTCATGACCAGAATTTACATGGGAGCATGCCTAAAGCTTGGATGCATGTGCATCTTGTACATGAACATGAACACCAATGTAAACAGGTGTCATGGATGCATTAAGTTCCGTAACAGCCTAAGTAGTCTACATGAATATTTAGACAGCTCATGAACGCTTCATATGCATACATCTAGTGAATTTTGTACTCGCCTGAATGCTTGATACCATGGTTTTCTTTATCTACGAATTAGCAACCTGCACATATTATGAGTGTTTCAAAGTAGGACTAGATCAACTGGCTTTCGTGGTTAGAACTGGAACTGGTAGGGATGGGTCGGAATCGGGATTTAGAAAGTTTCTCCCAAAATATTTTCAAGTATTAATATCAAAGAAATATTGTTTCTAGGGTGTCTGAGAATTCTAAACCTCATTGAAAGTTTTAAACAACTAAGATTTAAATGTTGGCAAGTTCGAATTGGTACTTGAGGGCGACCGGCTCGACCCCTATGGTCCGAATTTTAAAACATTGGTGCTATGTAAAGGATGCATATTACCATACATATTACACCTTTTATGCTTGTAATTGGGTTCAGCACCAAATTACATTTATGCTCATATACGTTTTGTGTTAATATACATTTGCATATGCATGATGAGAGATATGTAGGATGGAGCGCTAACTATTGTGAGAATAACTAGTGGAGAGACGAGTGAGTTTTCAGTGACAATAGGTCTGCATTAAGGGTCAGCATTGAGCCTGTACCTCTTTGTCTTAGTTATGGACGACTTAACTACGTACTTGCAGGATGACGTATCGTGGTGCATGTTATTCGCAGATGATATAGTTTTGATCGATGAGACCCGAAATGACGTGAACACAATGTTAGAACTTTGGAATGATGCTCTAGAATCCAAAGGTTTTAAAATTAGTCGGACTAAGACAGAGTATATGGAATGCAAGTTTAATACTAATAGGAGTAGAGACAAGGAAGTAGTTAAGATTGACGGCCAATAAGTATAAAAAAGACTACACTTTTGATCCATTGGGTTGATAATCCAAGAAAATGGACCGATTGAGGAAGATGTCGCACAGTGGAGATGTGCAACTGGAATTTTATGTGATCGCCGCATACCAATGAAGCTGAAGGGTAAGTTTTATAGGAAAGCTGTAAGACCAACTTTGCTTTATGGGGCAGAATGTTGGGCGGAAAAAGACAATGCACCCATAAAATGAGTGTAGCGAAGATGAGTGGCAAGACAAGAAGGGATAGAATCTGAAATGAATCCATTTGGGAAAGTTTAGATGTGGCACCAATAGGCAATAAGATGGGAGAGGGTAGATTTAGGTGGGCTGGCCATGTGTAACGTCGATCCAGTACAACACCTGTTAGGAGGTGTGAGTTAATTCAAGTGTAAGGATTGAAAAATGCAAGGGGTAGGCCCAAAAGGACGTGGTTGGAAGTAATCCGATTTTATTTTAACTCCTTTCCAACCCCAATTACTCTGTTAGAGGATCATGATTCATGTAGCCAACCCCAATCACTTAGTGCCCTGTGTGCCAAGCCAAGATCTCATTTTTCCTCCTTTCCATTATGTGATTATTTTGATTTTGCATCATCTGCAAGGCTCTTGCTTGGGAGTTGCCTCCCTCCCCCTTGTTTAGTGGGAGAAAGCAGGGCAAAGGACCATTCCACCATCTCAGGGACCAAGAGCCTGTAGAGGAACAAATTCCTGACCCAGAATGGCCCTGTTATGTTTCTCTCTCCTTGACATGCACTCTTCACAATTCCTTCTGCACATTCATCTGCGTGCACAACCGGCATGACACTGACGAAAGCCTGCTCCAGCTCGAACAAAATCGTTAGGATTCCATTGAAGCTTAGCAATAATTGTAGAATCAGAATGAGGAAATCTTATAGAACAGAGCTTTCTGAGAAATATTGAAGTAGAAAGTAAATCTGAGACACTAAAGCTTAGTGAGCATTAGACTCAGAAGATCTTTTGAGGCGCTCTTGCAGTTAAGTGAGTTAGGTGTAGTTTTTCTCTCATCCATTGTCTTTTGATCCACCTGTATGCCGTTGCAGTTCATGAATTTGCCTTTGCTGAGCTCTGATTCGGTCCAACCAGGTGTTGCGATTTTAGTCCCAATCTCGTCCCCGATTTCCATCCTCATTGTCTCCTAAAAATTAACTACAGCTGCTTTACTAGCCTGAAAACCATGAAGCGTATTACAGTAATTAAAAAATAGAGAAAAGCTGGACCTTCTCTCTCTCTGGGCTTTAACATAACAGGGTGGAGAGTGAATAGGTCTCTCTCTCTCATGGTTATAACCTGGTGCAGAATGAATGGGTCTGTCTCATGAGTCTTAACAAGGATTCTTAACAGGGTGTAGAGTGAACAGCTCTCTCTCTCTCTCTCTCTCTCTCTCCCTCTCTTAACAGGGTGGAGATTGAACATCTCTCTCTGTCATTCATTTCACTTGCATTATACAGACTCATTTTCACTTACATTATATAGACTCGTTCTTGGCAGTGGAACCCCTGCTGTAGCAGACGCATCTACCAGGGATTGTATAATAAGTTGGATGAACCTCTTGCACCCATCGAGTCTCGTTACATCGGCAGGGAGGATGAGTACCTCGGGTGAGCTGTTGCTGCGTGTTTTCTCTGCAACTTCTCGAAGGTGTTGCTCCCTCGTTGCTACAAGAACCAGACATGCGCCTCTTTTTGCATATTGATACGCCATATGCTGCATATTATTACACAACATCAAGTTTCACATCAATTTATCAGGGAAACCAAGTAAAATGATACTGGGCCCTCTCTCTCTCTCTACATATGCTGCTTTTTACCCACCACCAAACCTTTCTCAAAAAGTACAATACAAGAATGCTAGATACAGTTGCCCAAAGTGCTCTCTGTTTCACCGCCCCAATGCTGGAGGAAGCACCAGTTATGAGAACGACCTTCCGCCTCACATCCTCAGTCTTGGGTGTGCGAAAGAGAGAGTGAGAGGTTGAAAAGAGCAAAGATAGGGAAGATGAGAGTGAGGAAGAAAAGAGTAATGGGAGGAAACATCAGGTTCATGAATCTAGTGACCAAGTCCATGCTTCTCCAACCCTCCAAATCCTTTACCTTTACACAAAGAGACTTCTTCAGGCTCTCTCTAAAAATATGAAAAATCACTTTGAGAACTCTCCATTGATATGGGGTTTAAATAGGAAGAAAATGGGCATAGAGAATGGAGCTGTACCCCTGCCCTCTCTCTTTAAATTGCAAGAATCACTGTACAGCTATAAATCAATTAACAAGTGAGAAGGACTAGAGATGTATTGGAGCTTTCCTCTTCTTTTTTTTTTTTTTTTTTTTTTTGAGTGATTTAAGTGTGGATCTTAAAATTTTAGGTAAAATACAAAATGTTCACTTATAAGCAGAATTACAAAGGTCGTTCAATCCATTTTTTTTTTTTTTTTGCTTTTGATTTTTTTAGTTTTTTTTTTAGTAGGGTTGAGCCTTAAAGCTTGGGGCACTGGCATACTAACCAAAAAATAAAAATAAAATAAAATTTGAGTTGATCAAAAGACAATTTTGAAAAAATAAAAAAAATGGGATTGATCATTTTTTTTTGTAATTTCCGCAGCAAAGGATGTTTTCTTATTTTGAAAAATTAAGAGTGGGCTGGGGCGGTGATAATACCGATGTCTCACCTTATTACCAATGTCTCACCAAAAAGGGTAGGGGGCAAATCCTCATTGACTTACGTTTTTGTTTTTTTAGTTTTAAAAAGTTGGTACTTGTCCTTTTTTAGGGAGACATTTACACGTTTGTTTTTTTTGTTCTTTTTTGTTTTGAAAAAGTTGGTTGCTTGTCCTTTTTAGCCAGACATTTTCGCTCTGTTTGTTTTGGTGCTGACCCCTATAGTCTCTTTCATAAATTTATTTTAGACCCAGTTTTATGAGCCCTTACAGGAATGAGGTGCTTCAAAAATCTATTTTTGCGATGAATTTTTGGATTTTATTTTTAAGGATATGTAATCTCTAACATAAAGATCATGAACATGAATAAATAAATAAAATTTAAAAATTGGAAATAATAATTCTATTAAAAGAACACTTCGCGTGTTAGTTTTTTTTAGATAGACCAGCTATTTGCATCTATCTTTAAGATGGATGCTTTATACTTTTGGACCGCATGTATAAAATTGCAGTCCCCACAAGAAACAATTTTTCATTTATTTTAGGGTTTGTATGCATGTAATTAATGTCACCAACAATTGAAATTATTGAATCAAGCTTCGTCTTAGGCTTCGGTCAATGAATCAAGCCAGGGAAACCGAATATAGGTAAGTGTAGTCTAGATATAGATAGGGGCAATGATTTTATGCAACCGTTGTATAGTAATGTGATGTAATAATTTTGAAAAACCATCTTATGGTCATTTGTTTGAACCAATTTTAAAATATATTCTCTTTTCATTCTAATGAACCATCACAAAAAAAAGGAAAAATTAAAAACACAAATTAGAAAGTATTTTTTTCGAGTTCATTTTGGTGAGATGCCTAAATCTAGGTCTTGGAAGGATTTTTTCATTTCCAATTTTTTGGATGGCTTTATGTCATTAGATGAACAATGTTAAACAAGAAAAAAATGAGTTTGAGTTTATAAAGGCTAAGATTTTGACATTCATAAAATGAATTGTCTAGATTCGTTTTTTGAGGGGACTCATTTTGATCATATCTAGGGTTCAAATTGAACTTCTTTTTTTTTTTTTTGGGGATTGATTATTGAGATTAAAAGTGTGTGTGCAAAATTTGAGGTCATATAAATACCACAAACATGAATTTTTAGGAGTGCCGTTGTATTATATTATGATACAACCGTTGCATTGGATTATTGCTCGACAGATAGAGAGTTTCGCTAGAACTCGTAAGCTAGAACGTTTAGGTTTGCTTAAGTTGCTAAGCTAGCTTCGAACGAGACTTTATCCCTGAGGTAGGTTGGTCACAGGAATCTCAAGCACCCTTGTGGTCACAAGAATCTCATTAAGTTGTTATTTCTTTGGGTTTTTCGGTATTTTTTATTTTTTCGATTTTTTTTTTAAGCATGGAGAAAGGAACTTCCCAATCTTATATGATTTTACCCATTTTTTAAGGGATCATTGAAAATGACTTCTCATTTTTCAGTGTATGTTTCTACATGGTTTTTTTTATTGATTTCCCCCTTTTTAGATATATTGTCTCAGATGGGGACCTGGTTTATATGTGGCGAAGCCCACATTTGTAGAAATGCGGGCTCATTAATAAATCTATTGTTGAGATGGATTTTTGGATAAATCTATTTTTGAGATGGATTTTTGCATTTAAGTTTTAAGGACATGTAATCTTTAACATGGAGATAATGAATGTGAAAAAATAAGTAAATTTTAAAAATTAGAAATATAAATTTTAAAAATTAGAAATAATAATTCTAGTAAAAAAACATTTGGAGCATTAATTTTTATTGTAGCTAGATGGAAGATTTACTTACATCTATCTTTAAAAGGGATGCTTTACACTTTTTGGACCGCATGTAGTCATGCTGTCCAGCCCGCATGAAACAATTTTCCGGCAGATGGATTGGTGTAATTGCCCGATGATGGAGGATTTTTTTTTTTTTGAGAGCCGCTGCATCGGTACTCATTTTGGGCCTCTCTTACTCTCTATCATCTCTCATCTTTCATCTCTCTGTCTCTCTTCTCTGAGTCAATGAACATCTTTCATTATGCCACTATTTGAATTATGATAGCTATTAGATCTGAGGGCATCGAATTGAAATTTATACCAATTTCATTGATTATGGTATTTTTGTATATAGTTTTGAGTTAAAATTTACCGATTAAAATTATTTTATTGTTTTTATTGTGTTTTCAGAATATTAGACTATGTTGGAAATCTATTGATCCATTTTTAGGAATCAAAATCTATTTTTATAAATTTTCATGTGAACTTTTCTTGTTATTTTGGTCTTCCTTATTGTTCAGAGGAAAAGTGTTTGCCGGGTCGGCTGACCTCCACAATTCTTGTGAGGTCTCACTACAAAATATATCTCAAAGATATGTTTTCGATCCAAAATTTTTGAGTTCAATAATGTCAAGTACGTCAATGATTAAATTTGAAAATTTTATTTTTCAAAAAACGTAAAGGTTATTTTTTGAATTCCTTTCTTCCTGTCCATTTTAACTTTTAGTGGATGTAACATTTTTTGATCTCCATCTTACAGATGGATAGACAAGGGACCCGTAATTGATGAGTTGGTTGACTCACCAAAGCCGTCCTTGTTTACAGCGATTCCATTTGTATGTATTGTGGGCCTCTCTCTCATTCAGCTCTCTCTTGCATTCATCTCGGTGAATTGTTATAGCTACGAGATCTGCGGGCAAAATTAAAATGAAATTCAAACCTATTGCACACTTTTTTGCTGAAGTAATTTATTGGAATATTTCACCATAAAATATATGTTTTTTGGAGTAATATATCATGAAGATATCCCTTTATATTTGTTTGAAAATCTTATACCTTGTTTAAAATTCTTAAACTTTTCTGTTTTTGAAGAAAAATAGAAAAAGCTGATCCTGCTTGAAATCAGTTCAAAACCAGTGGATTACCAGGTGGTTAAGCACAGATTTACAGCTGTTTCCAATGAGAGTAGGGTTTTCGGGACAATGGCGAGTTCAGTAACTGGAACAAGCCATGTTGCTCTAAACATCCTAGAGATAAGAAGGTATCGAGAAAGAAGTTGACTAGGAGGGATTGATTATTCTTTTAACTTTGATTATTGATTGCAGGTTGGAAAAATTGTATGCTCTATTTTTTTATTAGATTTTATAGTTTTGTACTTCTAATTTTTTATATAATTATAAGCGAAATATGAAGTCCCTTTCTATGTGTTTCTGTGACTTTGAAACCTTGGGTGGTTCTGCACAAATGTCAGCAGTTGAAGATTTGTCAGTTCAGAATTATATTGAAAAGATGAAAATGTGATGCACAAACACAAGGAAAATGGTATGATAGGGTGGCGACCCTATCAAAATAAGGAAAGCCTAACTCATCTGAAAATACAATTCAAGTATTCGACATCTTGGCTTGAACATTGTGGTTTTGAAAGAAATTTAGGATTTTAAGCTCTAAAAATAGTGTATATTGTAACAAATTATCTAGACCGTTTATTTCACCCTATAAATAATTATTCATAGATCTGTAATTTTATATGCATCATGGAGATTTCCATTGCCCAAATGGTTTCCGATAATTTAAGGTGAGGCCACATTTTGTTTTTATAAAGCCTAGGCCTCAAAAACTTCATCCTAAAAAAAAATCCTTACAAACACTAAAAATGGATAACTTTCCGAAGTTCATGTTTGCTTTCAACTTAGATTGCCTTGATGAATGAGGGCTTGTCGAGTCGGGAAATATGGATGTTTTTTTAGGGTTTAGACTCTTGATCCTTTTCCTTTTCCCTAAAAATGGTAGGCTGTATTTAGAATGATACCAATGGTACAAGTTTTAACACACTTATTTGTTTTCTGATATTCTTCTTGTATTAATACACTTAATATGATTACGTGTAAGAATTCATAACGTTTTGTCAAGTTTCGTTATAATTTTGTGAAATTAAATGAGAAACAACTTAAAGCACAATCTTCTTGAATAAAAATTATGAAGCTGCAAGAAGGTTATCCTCAAAGCATCTAAAATCAGAGTGGAATGAAAGCAGCACATTTTAGAACAGTTCTTCATTAAATAATTCAAAGAACTAAGTTCCGACGCGATTGATAGCACTAATACAATAATCCATCAATAACTCAATCACATGCCGAGCCAAGAGTGGTACCGTAATGACGGTTAATATGTAAAAGCAAGGTTTTTATACTTCCCTTACAATATAGAAGATCTATGCTTTTCCTACCATCCAACCCTCTAATTTTGATCAAGAGAGCCGCTCATCGTTTGATCTTAGATATGACATCTCAATGTATTTTAATTTTAATTTTTTTTTATACAAATTGTATGAATATGAAATTTGGCACGTACCATCTTCTCATTGGGGAGCACCTATAAAAAATATTTAAAATAATTTTTCAATAAAATATAGTGACCAAAATACCCTTAAAACTTTCAAAGGTATTTTGATCATTTTATTTTATTGAAAATATTTTTTTTAATATTTTTTACTAGTGCGAGTTTAATAGGAGATTGGGTATCCAAAATTTGGTGTCAAAATGGTTTATAAAAAAAAATTTAAAAATAAAATAACATAGAGACATGATATTGTGATTGAAGCAATCTTAGCCCTCTATTCAAACTAGAGGGTTGGATAAGGGGAAGTACATAAGTTTTATGCTGCAGGGGAAACATAGAAAGCTTGCCCAATAAATAATGGTACTTGATCTAGGAAGTCCCATTGTTTTCCACTACCAATTTTGTGAAAGGGGAAATGGGAAAACAGTAAAAAATCCATTTGATTTAGTGATTTTAAAAATGCTGAGTCAGAACGGAACTGCTTAGTTCGACTCAAGAATCGGTCACCCCGTTTCGGTTTTGTATATATATAGGAAAACAACCAAGTCTAGAAGGGAACTAGTGGTTCCGCACAATAAAATAATAATTCTTTAATCAATTTTTTAATTAGATTATTTTCTCAAACAATTCTTTGGAACATAGGGTAAACCAGAAAGGTGCATTCATCACTATAAATGGTAAGGCAAAGGGGGTGGTGGCATGGCACAAGCTATTTCTCCTTGGACTTAATCCTGCCAATACTCTCTCTTCGAGAGTTAATCTGAGTACTAAATGCGAAAACCCTTGGGGAAGGTTTATCATGGTCCAATGAAGAATGGTACATGGAACTCCAGAAGGCATCCATCATCCATTTCTGTGAATAAATGGTTGCAATTAAGCATAGCAGAACCCATAGGGACATTAACCATTTTCAGTTAAATCTCCACGCTTCATTGTTGGCTGTTGGCTGTTGGCTGTGGATGCCCCCCTAAAGCATTGTCTACCAAAAACCATGTTCCCTATTGGAACAATACTTTCCCAAACCTAATCCTGAGGATCGAAATGGGGAATTAACCGGTAGGGCTCCATATGTCAATCTATTGGTCCCTTGACATCAGCCACAAAGATGTTACCAGACTCGCACCATCCGGCTAAAACATCCATCTTAGAACACTGCCAACAAACCCCACGTTTTAGAATTCAAAGGACAGAAAGATATGCCCACTAGCAAAGCGTATGTGAATTCTCATTTTGATGTGAAACAAAAAGCGCATACCTTACTGAATCCTAGCCAGTTAGAATCCCCTCTAAATGAAAATGCTTTTTCATTTCCTTGCCATTTACCGCAACAGACCTGCAGCAGAAATTGAACTTATTTTGCCTGCTAAATGGCTATTGGCATATAACAAAATACACTTTCTTTGAGTTGGACTTGGATCAAACTTAGTTCCTAGAGGTTCTTTGCTATTAAAGCAGAAATGCTTGGAAACATAGATTTGACAGTAAGGTTAGAAGCAAAATTTGGCACATGTTTTTGTTTGCTTTATTCATGACAGAATATGTAGCACACTGTCACTCATTCAAACATAGTACTGGGATATTTTGTTGGAAATAGAAATTTCCTTTGTCCGAATGTCAGGATATCGACGTTCCCAAAGATTATATTGCATATTTGGCCGCTTGATTTCAGACACTTAGGTTTTCAGATCTCAAAAGGTATCTTTTGGAGATCATTAATACAAATATGTAAAAGGAAAAAAAACCTAGGAAGGTTGAAAAGAAGCAAGCATTGTCCCTCGCAAGCCAAAGAACTCCCCACAATCAATTAGCAAGTAAAAGCAACAAATAGGGTGATCAATTTTGCAATGAAAAGGATGATGAATCAATCATGTGCTGAGGTGCGAAAAAGCAAGAGATAGTTGTTTCACCTCATAATCAACACCTTGGACATAAATATGATCGGGGTCAAATGAGGAGAATGCAAGACCTGTTATCTGCAATTACCCCCAGAATAAAACTATGACCGTTTATAGACCTGTTATACGAATAATCAACACAGCAATCAAATAACAACTGATAATGTCTTCATGGGACACAGGCACAATATCCATGAAAAAAAAATGCCATGTGGGCTACAAGATAGCAATGGTTTCTTGATCTTAGCTTGATCTCCACTGCCATGTTATAAAGAGAATCATCTAATTCATTGGTTTGTGTCATGGGAACTTTTGAAGTCAAAATTACAAGAATTATTACGTGGCTTTCACAATTACCAATTGCTCAAAGACGGGGGGGAAAAAGAAGAGAGCAGCTATTTGGCAGCATTGGGGGATTGCCAGTACTAAAAGAACATAAGATCAGTTATTTTGGAATGCAAATGCTCTAAAAGACAGATGCCAAAGAAACTCAAGGTATATAATAACTCAATTCACCTCATATTTCGAGCAATTTACCCATCTTGACAAGGCTGTCCATCTGCAGCCAAAATGTCAAACACGACCAAAATTCAGGCCATATAAAATATCATTCCTGTCTAGTTTAACTATAATAGAAAATTAGATAAGCATTTTCAAGCCAATTCAGTGCAGACACATTAGCAAACATAGGTACTACATAGGTAATACGTATATCAGATGCTCCATCAGATTTTATAACCTCTTGTGAATTTGCTTTAATAAAATTGTAGCTTCTTTCGCACAATTAATTATCAAAGATTTTGTGAACAGTAATTACTGATATCGCTTCTCATACCCAGCTACTAGGAGTAATGTCGATCATTTCCTTTACCAGACAAACCCTACCATCATCTGACAAGCAATCTATATGCTGCAAACTTGCAATAATATGACAAAGAACACACACGCACGTTAGCATGCCACACACAAACACACACATTGTGATAGTGTCCTATTCTTCTTAAAACCATAGATTTGATTTGCTAGAAAATACTAACTTGCGACTGTCATAAATGGTTACTGTCCGGTCAGCGCCACCAATAGCTACAGTTCCACTGGAGGAACTACAAACAGCATAAAAGGGATGTCCAAGTGAGCCAGAAACTCTTTCTACACAACCACCATTGTGCTTTGTTCTTAGGTCCCAGATAGTCAGCTGCAATAGGGTGGTATATAAAGCGATAAAGAACTTAAAAAAGCAAAATATGAACTAATAGATTCGTTTATGATCAATAAACACGTTTGTAAATATAACATATGCAAAGAAATGTTACTCTAAATTACAAATTAGAAGGAATACCTGGCAGCCTTCTGCAACGGCTAGAATAGAAGAATTCTCATACTCATAGGACAAACTTTGTAGGAAACATATAGAAGCCGGATGCCACAAACTGTACAAACAAGTCATGTTCAACTATTCAAAATACTATATGTACCCTATATGTGTCTTCTTGTATTAAAAGACTCAAGATTAAGTCCAGAGTAATGAGTTCACCGCAACATGCCATCTCTGTGATAAGGAACTTACATAATTATATACCAAGAGAGAACAACCAAGGCACTGCTGAACTTATATACCAATATTACCACCCTACTAATGATTTTTTATCTAAAACTAAAATAGAGAGAAAAAAGAGGAAGAGTTCCATGATGACCAAGGTCCAGTGATGTGTCATCATGCCTGATAGTCTAGACATAGCAGTTCAATTGAGATGAGCGTTCATACTTTATTCTTGAAAAAAAGCAGAAAAAAAAAAGAATGCAAGTAACCAAACCAACAAACACAATATCTGGCACAAAGTATCTAGAGAAGGAACTCTACACATGCGAAGCATCAGAAACTTCAAATTTTATTCCACAGTAGAATCAATAATAAGAATAAATAAGTCTCCTCTCAGCTTGCTACCACCACTACTTAAATAACTTTGAACCATAAAACCTAAAAAGTTTCTACAAAATTCTAGCAATCCATTCCTTTAATCTCCACCGTCTATTCGTATCACAATAACACTAAATAGAAGCAACTTAAAAGATATTAAAATAAACACAAAATAGAAATCCAAAGAAAATGTAAGCTGTGATTTCTCGTTGTCCTAGAAGTAAACCCCCAGAAACTACAAATAATAAGTCTCTTGATTCCCATAATTCTAGGATCCATATAAGTTAAAATAGAACTAAGAACACCCCAAGAAATGGATCTATAAGTGCAGATGGAGAGAATTATATGAACAAAACCAACGCAAGCAACTTCACTTTCTCCGTGGATTTATCCTCGATAAATCCATCCTCAATCAAACTAATCATTAGGAGTAGGTTCTCTACAATACCCTAATCATCATCTAGGAATATGTTGAAGATTGGTGGAGAATCCCAATACACACTTCCATACTATGTGAAATTGATTGATGAAAATAAAGATTTTCCATGAATCATAGGGACCAACCAGTATGGAGGCTCCTCTTTGATGAAGCAGTTTGAGTGTGGATCTTTCTCTAGAACAATCAATATTGCACTCTTTATATCCAATTGCCAGTAGCCTTCCACTGCCAGACTGGCTGCACGTCATGCATGAGTTGATCTACTTCTTGTGGGAACTTGGTAATGGTTTACCATCTTGATGTGCAGCAAGAGCTTGTCTTTTCAATGTCATCTTTGAATTGTAACTAGGATGCCCTAGGAAGCCCTGCTCTAATACCACTTGATGCATGCCTTGATATTTCATTCTTGAAAAAGAATATCAAAGCATACAGGGAGCCAACAAAACAAACACAAAATTCTGCACAAAGTAACTAGAGAAGGAATTCAACTTAAAAGAAGCATCACAAGCTTCAAAGTTTTTTCCACAAAAGAAATCAATAACAAGAGAACAATCGAAGTCTCCTCTTAACTCCCAAACACCATTATGTAATAACTTTGAACCCTGAAAACCCCACAAATATCCTATGAAATCCTATCCATCTATTTCCCTTTTTATCGCCAGCATATATTCAGACAATAATCCTACCAAATAAAAGCAACTTAAAAAATACTAAAATAAACACAACATACAATCCCATTATGTGACTTCTCAAAAAAAAAAAAAAAATCTCCAAAGTAAACACCAAAACATATAAATAAAGTCTCTTGATTCCCATAATCCTATGACCCATCTTTCGTCCTTGTCATGCCTGCATCAGTAATAAATTAATTTGCATGTAACAACACAATGGTCTTTAAAAGTAGTGGCTTGATGAACTAATTTGTATATTGACACTTCAGGTTAGCTCCCTACCTATCACTTCTGCAGATTACTTTTCCAAACAAGAAAAGTGTGCATTATAGATTATAAACATCTCTAATTGTTGTAAAGGACAGTTTTTCAATACTGAAGACAATCTAATCACAAAGTTTCCTGTAAATCTCACATAAATTTAAACCACAATAAGCAAGTCATCAAATATGCTACAAACTGGATACAATCACACAATATCAGAAAAGTGTGGCACAATTTGATTCAAGTAACTAAAAAAATCATGAAGCAAGCTAATCGACCAGAACACCAAAAACTTACGTTCGTAGAGTTTGGAGATGAATATCCTGGTCGTAAATGTCAATACTTTTGCAGAAGCTACGAGCTACTGCAGCCTGGAAAATTTAGATTATCCATTATCAATAATTGAAAAGATCCACAAAGTGATGGGAATATAGGGAAGAGATCAAACATATGATTGGTAGGTGAACATCCTAATCCAACAGAACCAAAAATGCCTAAGGGAACTGAATACAGCTGAACTAAAGATGGTGGTCACATACACATGGTCCTTTTACTAAAGTTTAATATACTATAGAAAGGAGAGACCCATAAAGTAATTGTTGGGTATTTGTGGCCCATAAAGGCCTTATGACAACATGTAATCAATATTTTGAAATAGTGGAACAAAAACTCAGTGGGAGTATGGTCCAATAGGACTAAGATAGGCAAATACTATTTGCCGAGACTCAGACTAGGCTCAACGCACTAGGCCAATCGAGTTGGAAAACCCTTAATTACCTAGGCATAGAGCACAACCGATGAGGGTTAGCAACGTTAGCTCTTAATGAGGTCGAGTTGCCTAGGGTAGTGAGCCAAGGGACTGTGTGACCCTTGTGTGTAATGGTAGGCCTGTAAGGACGAGGGCCAAAGCCTCATCTTGAACCATTATACGACATGTACATATGATAGCTATGTCGGGAAAGAAAATCACCATTGAGGGTGATACGTGTACATGTGCGAGAGATGACCCCTATGCACCATAGAGTTATGGTTGCACCAGGTCTGTGTGACCTCAGACTTGTCCCTAAGGGAGAACTTGTACTCCATAGACTAGGATTGTGTCCCCTCATCTATTGGCTAACTTTGGTAGCCCAATCAAGAACCTCTGCGATGGTCTGTGGGTCATAAGAACTGCTGGGTTAGTTTGAGAAAGTGAGTGCGGATTATAGTCCATTGCAGAAGATGGAGTGCTTCAGCAAATTATAATTTCTTAACATAATTGGATCCGAACCCATCAAAACAATTTAGAATTAATTAATTTGGTCTGGATCTATTATCCATAAAGATGGTTACCCTAAGAAACCCTAACCCTAGAGAAAATCTATAAATAGGCACCACGGGGGTCCTATTTCTCTACACATTTCATCCCTCTTTCTCTTCTCTCTCTAGGTGGTACACCTCCCTCTCTCATCTCTCTCTAAGATCTCTCATTTGTCTCTTAGAAAATATTGGTTTAAGAAAAATAGGGGGGCACGCCCTTGCCATTGTAGCCCAAAGGTGGGCACGCCCCATACTAGACATTGAGGTTTAGTCTTGCACCATCTTGTTCCATTGCTCTCTTATTTGATTAAGGGAATTTCCCATGCTTTAAAGATTTGAGATAGACCATTGATCTCATGCGCCATTGGAGGAGGAGATCCGGAGTGAGGGGTGCAAAGTCCAGTTGAGGTAATCTTCTAGCATCTTGTTCTATGGTTTGCAGTCTTGTTATTTCTTGTTCCCAAGAGTCTTATGTGATTTTTAGTTATTGAATAAAAGAAATTTCATTAGTGGCAGCAAGTGAAAACCTCTTTAGTTATTGTTTGTTATGTATTTTGAGTTGATTTAATTGTATTTGGACTTCTGTGAGTTCAAGCCAGTAGAAAAGAGAAAAACTAAAAACCGCATACACCTTGCTTGTTCACCTTGTCCAACTTTCAATAACTAGTAAATTAACATTCAGCAGCTGTTGCTTTTAAATTATACTAAGGGATGCATGGGGTCATGAGAATCTAAGCAGCTTCCATATTCAATACTACAACCATTGGGCAAAACAATCCGAAAATCTTGCCATACCTTATCATTATAACATGGCATTGGGGAAATGTTTCAACTTTCAACCAGTAAATGGGGATAGTGATAGTAGATTCCCTGGTAAAGGACCTAGGCTCTTGATTTCAAAAACCTACTTGGTACTATTTCAAACTAGCAGGTAGCCTTCATTCAATGTTATCCTAAGTTCCTGATCAAAATTGACGAACCTTAGTTCCCCATGGATCAAAGTGATGCCTAGTTACAACATATATATCTAAATAAACTTACAACACAAAAATCAACAAAGTCAGTTCATGGATCCAAATATCTACTAATAACTAATTGCCCCAAAACACGCATCCTAACAGATGCTTAGCTCTAACTTTCTTTTTGTTGCTGGATATCACATTCATACACATCTCTTGGTTTCCCTAGCCTCTGGTGAGCTATAGACAGAGTTAAACGAAATCAAATTTTTTATGATTCCATAATATATGATAGAGCTGTGAAAACTTTTGGATAGTTATCCTCTTGAATTGAATTCTTTCGAGTTAAAGAACATCTTCTCTCACGCTAATACAATTTAGGTTAAAACGACTACCATTACCAGGAATGATGCAAAAAAGTTTATTTTCAGATGTCTTCAGAAATTTGGAGACCACAGGTAAAATAAGACCAATTCAAAAGAATTAAAGAGAAACTGATAGCCCAGGATTACAATTCACCGATGCAACTCTTCAATCTGCATGAAACTGGAAAAACTCCTTATGATTATCAAATGTTTCATGTGATTGAAGTGACAGCTCTGAAAAATTAAGCCCTATCTATTCATTTTACACAATTCCTGAAATATAAGCAATGCAGCTCTAGAAAATCCACAAAAACAAATGTCACAAAACCGAAATTACAACAATGCCACATATCTTCAATTATACCGTGGACCATCGACTTGGACAGAAACATATTCCTGCCCAACTACTCTCTCCCACACCGAAATCTTGAGGCAAAGTTGTAAATGTAAGCCTTTCAACATCTGGCAAGAAAAGAAGAACATGTTACTAGAATAAGCCATTACACATGGTTGATTTTAAGCATTTATAGGTATTAAAAACAAAGAAAGATATGCAGCACGCATTTTTCTTTTTGCACTCATGCATGCAAAACTAATGCATTTGCTAAAGAGTCAAGCATACAAACTTCATAGAGACTACGTGCAAAATTTATGCCTGGTTCTTGATTATCTTTTCAATCATGATGAAAATATAATTGTTGATCTACACTTACTCTCTAGGCATGTTTGTATAACTGATGGAGTTAGGAACTTCTAGTACAAGAAATTATAGTTGGAAGCATAGTTAAATTGATTTCATCAAAGCCTTGAAATATTGGAAAAGATCAAACCACCTATTAACTACAACCACTTCTAACCAAGGAAATGTTTCATTTATGAATAGGTAATGCTATTCTTCACTACTTTCTTGAAGAGAACTCCATCCCAAGAAAATCCTAATAAATGCAAATAAGAAGATGAGGGTATACCTCACAAGCACCTTTCAAAAGTTCAGATTGCAAGGGAAGAAATCGGATGGCAACGATCGTATTCAATATTTGAATTTTTAAGTTTTTCAACATATTGGATTTACATGCAATTTTACAAGTGTGTACGCCACATCTGGGGACACCTAAAATATATAAATAAATAAGTCCAAAAATAAAAATGTACCAAAATACTCCTAAATGTTTTAGGGTATTTTGTTCAATTATCTTTTGCAATTTATTTATTTTTACATTTTCTGGGGTGATTGAGAAGTTTGGACATCCAAAATTTCATGCTAATCTAATTTGTAGAAAAAATTAAAACTAAATTAACATATTGTATGCAATCATGGTCTTCCATTTTCTTCCCTTTTAACTTCAATCGTTGGGGGGTTGCTTGCACCATTCAAGCATGTATAACTTTCCTAATAGATATAAAAGACACTAAATGAGATCCTATTGTGCACCAAATTATTTTGAGATCAATCTTGCTCAATTTACAGCACAATGACAACATCAATGAGATTTTCCTTTGAAGAGCTTCCTTGCAACTTGTCACCTTTTATGTATAATTTATAAAGATGGCACCCGTAAAAAAGTTATTACCTTCATTGCTTGGATCCAATCTAGAGATGATTACATGACCAAAAGAATCCACTGTTCCCAGTATCATGCCCATGTCACCTATAAGAAGACAATGAAAAAATAAAGTAAAAAAAGAAAAAAATAAAGGCTTGAACCCTGTTTATTAATAGTGACTACAAAGGATAGGATGAAACCATTAAAAGAAGACAAAAAAGGACATGATTATAAAGAATATGTTGATTTAATCCTAGAAAAAGGACTACAGGTCACATAATCAAATATAGATTGAGCCTATATAGGCTACAGTTCACTGCGCTTTGCAAAAACCATGGAGCATTTGCGAAGAATATGCAATCCAATTCTTGTAGCAGACACACTAGGTGAACAAGAATCCACTCCATATTTATGAAGAAATCTCGAATTATACGTAATTGGAGCTCATAATCCTTTTGTTGAGATATTATTTGGTTATAAATAACCTGGACAAATTAACAACTAAAAAATAAATGTATAAGCTGGACAAAGACTGAATCTTTTGGGTACCGAAAAAAAAATGCACTAACTTCTACAATATGGCAAAAGCCTACTGCAATACAATAAGAACAATACCTTGATAGAGCTCACCAAAAAAAAAAAAAATTCCTACGATATTATTGATGAAGCTTACATTGAGTATCTGCAAGTGCTATACTCTGGATCTCTGTACGATGAGGGCACCGTTTAACCAAAGATGCACGGATTGTCTGCAAAATCTTATCTTAGGTTCCTCAAAAAGAATTAACTAGTCAATTAATCTCAATAAAAACAACCAAAAAAAGTAAGAATACCAATCTATTGTGAAAAATGTTACATGAAGCTCCTCAAAAAATAAGGAACTAATCAAACATTATTAAACCCCACAAAAACAACAGAAAGAAATAGAACGCCCATTAATTTGTCCCTTATTTGACAAATCAACTTCTTTAAGAGAGAACATTCTCATACTTGTGCCGGCACCGGAATCAAAAGGCTCTCCTTTCCCCTTGTAACCATAGTATCCTCCATAGATATCTATGAATAAAAATTTCAAAATCGGATCATTTCATATGATGATGTCACAATTCCATGGAAAAATAAGTGGCCATTATTGGGCTCGTAAGATAAAAATGAAGATGAAGAAGTTCAAATTTAGAATTAATGAGAAGGGTTTAGAGTTTTCTGAGATAATTTACCACCACATTGTAAACGCAACACCCAGAAGCAACATATACCGAACAAGATGAGGCATCTTCATTAACCTGTCAAAAAAAAGCAGCGAAGAGTAAGCAGCTTGATGAAATGGTAACAGCGAAGAAACAGAGTAAAACTAGGGTTAGGGTTTACATGAAGAGCAAGGCGAGTGGACTGAAGATTTGCAGGGGATGGGTCCATGAGGAGAGAGGGAGGAATGAGGGCCTTTCTCAAGCTCTTCACCTGCAACATCTCTTTCTCTCTACTTGCTTCTGAAAAACTCTCTCCTCTTTCCTCACTTTTCAAAACTGACGCAGCATATAAACTTCCCGGTAAAATCTAACGGCAATAGCGCAGCGTACTCCACACAGCTGAATTTTGGGTCCTCCAAACGGACACATAACTATTGGAAAAGCCGAGGCCCTAAACAGTATACAATCAAATTAGAGCGCCCCTCAAAATTTCACTTGTTTTGATGCCCAATTATCTTCAAATTGATCTTCTCGATATCAAGATGAATGGACATGAAAAAAAAAAAAGTAATTTCAAGTTTTAGAAATGCTACATCTTGTGACGCATTTTTGGACCGTCAATTTCGAAGTTTTCATAGATTGCTCCTTGGACATTGAAGCTTTAAATTTTGGGAAAAGTTTATATAGAGCCTAGGCTCCAAGCAATCAAATTAGAGCCTATCTCAAAAATTTCACTAAAACATGTTGTTTGATGCTCAAATATCTTCAAATTGATCATCTCGACATCAAGATGCATGGACTTGAAACAAATGGATTTCAAGTTTTGGAAATAGTGCATCTTGTAATATATTTTTGGATTGTCAATTTTTAAGTTATTTAAGTTTTCATAGATCTACTTGATCTACACTATTTTTGAAGCTTTAAATTTTATAATTAAAGATGAAAATATATTTTAAGGTTAGTCAAAGATTTCTAGTATTGAAACCACATTTCTCGATACTATTTGAATGTGGGCTCTAATTTGATTGTTTATAGCCTCGGTTCTATACAAACTGCACCTTTAAATTTTATAGTTAAAGATGAAAATATATTTTAAGGCTATCATCAAGATTCTCAATATTGAAACCACATTTCTTGACACTATTTGAAGGTGGGTTTTATTCTAATTGTTTAGTGCCTCGGCTCTATACAAACCCCACCCATAACTAATTTTTTAGTTTTATTTAAGGCTATATTATCACAAGTTACCATACGGAAAAGTATGCAAAGAGACTATTTATTTTTTGTATAAGGAGGTGATAATAATTTTTATCCCCCTAAATTTCAAATTTGATCGTTGTAGAAGTGTCGTTGAATAGATTCAAAGTTCAAACAGAAATAAAAAACAAACTTTCTTGAGCTTTGTGACTCATTTTAAGCCATCCAATTTAAATAACGAGTAGGAATAATTGTGGCCTGTTTGTATAAAAAGAGTAAAAGGTTTCTTTATATACAATCCCAATTTATCATCATGGTTAATTTTCTTGAAATGAATTGTTGGTGACAATTAGTGTACCCAAACATGCCATTAAGCTTGGGTAGGCAAGAACATGGTATAACCACGATAAAAAATCACGACCAATGTTCAAAGGAAAAAAATTATATAGGCATCAACCTTACTATAAAAGTAAGGTGCAATTAAAAAATGTACTTGAAAAGGTTGTACCAACGTCCAAAATTCTGCAATGGATCATCTTGTCCTCCAAATGTATAGATATAGAAGAAAAAAAAAGAAAAGATTTCATGTATTAAAATGTGTATCTTTTAAAACACTATCTAGTTCATCGATTTTTAAAATTTTGAAGTTTTTATAGATTTGTTCGATCTACCCTACTAGTTTAAAGTTTTAAATTTCATAATTTGAAGTTAAAATAGATTTTTAAGTCATTATAAAGATTTTTATCACGGGATTTATATCTTTTTAGCAAGATTTAGAGGTGCGTCTTAGTTTGTTTAAAGCTGACACTTTATGTAAACTGCACCCAAGTTTAAAATGCTTAAATAATTAATCCAGAAACCAGATAAAAGTAAATGTTCAAAATGAATGTAACCAAAAGGGATCACAACTGAAAAATTTGCTAATGTCATTTAACCATGGTGAAAACAAGTGGCGAGGCACTTGGGTTGGGAGGATAAACAGTAGTCATTACCTGGGAATGAAATTTTATGTTATGAAAAGTTGTTTTAGGCTGCACACTTACATACACGTATTGGAAAAGTATACAAAGAGACTATTTATCAAAAAGCCGAAAACATACAAACTAAAAGATCGATTTTCTATATGTCGATCCCCTATAGTGTACTTTTTTAATGTCGTTTTAGAAGCCACAACTTTCAAAATAATGTAGCACTTCCTGTTTAACAAACATGGCGAAGTGCTACAATACTGGAATCCTTCCATGACTTTCAAAAGCTGCATTATCAAGTAATCAAACAAGCCCTTTATGGGCAAAGTTTTTATAAAAAATTATAACGTACATTATTGGTAAATAGACCTCTTTGTAATAAGATAAATGATCTTATTATACACAATCTTATAAAAATTAATTTTAGTTTTGAAGCACGGATATCCATTTACATGTAATCAAACTTCACCGTCCATCGTCGAGAACGGATGGTGGATGGTGTATTCATGTTGTAACACCGGTATGCTACTACTGGCCAAGTGCATCACAAAAAGGCACATTACCAGGTACATCACGATAAAATGTAGAGCCTCACATTTTTTAATGGAACTTTGGCTCAAAAATTTATGTGATGACCCCAAAATTTATTTATATTCTCCAAAGAATGTGAAATTAAAAGAATCTAAGTACAGTGAATTTACAACTTTTTCAGATCTACAAGTATTGTAACGAAAGATAATCAGTTTGATGCTTTTTATTTTATTTTATTTTTATTTTATTTACGGCAAATCTGCGATTTTTACCAAAGTTTGAGTCAATTTTAAAAAGCCGCAACAATTTAACCTCTTTTATTTTTCTTTTTTTCTTTTTTTTTTTTTCGATTATTTTAGATAGGAACCCACAGTAAGATTAGAACTCATGGCACCCCAACACCTTAGTAAGAATTATCGCCGATAAGTTGAATATATCTTCATTTTCTCATGAGAAATAAGGGCTGATATTTATCTTCATGCCATGGCAAGGCATCCCGGCACCGAAACTACAATTTTCAAGCGCTTTATTTTAATAATATAAGATTGCCACCTTATACAAACCTCACCACTCTCATTAGTAAGGTAATTACCTATAAAGAAGCAAAATTTTTATCATTTTATTATTTTTAACACAGTATTTGAAGAACCTTAAATACAGCTTAGAATTTACAATTTTGAAAACTACTCTTGCACAAAAAATACCTTAAAAACGTTGTCATATAAATTTAAATTTTTTGAAAAAGATTTAACACTCACTCAAATTTTATTTGAATATTTAAAGGGTGCGGTTTGTATAAAGCCGAGGCTCTAAACAATTAAAGTACAATGCACTTTCAAATGGTGTCGAAAATTGTGGCTTCAGTACTGAAAATCTTTATGATAGCCTTAAAATATATTTTCATCTTAATTATAAAATTTAAAGTTTAAAAAATAATGTAGATCGAGTGGATCCACGAATACTTGAAAATCTGAAAAATTGACGGTAAAAAAATGCGTTACAAGATGCATTACTTTCAAAACTTGAAATCTATTTTTTTCCCATGTTCATGCATCTTGATGGCGAGATGATCAATTTGAGGATATTTGGGCATAAAAAACACCTCTTCTAGTGAAATTTTTGAGGTGGGCTTTAATTTGATTGTTTAGAGCCTCGACTCAGTGACCTTTTTCCATATTTAAATATGGCAAGCTCTTAAAAACTTAACTCAATAAAAGGTTATGACAAGGAATTACATTTATTCCATGACCAAAAAATTCTAATTTTATTATAGAGTTGTATAGAATGAGACCATTTATTTTTGTTATAAAGTGGTTACAATTATTCCAAAATATTAAATGTCAAATTTGAAGGTTTGGAGTGTGTCACAAAATTCAAGAAATTTTCTGTGGAACTTTAACTCTAGTCAATAACACTCTTACAACCACCCAATTTGAAATCTGATGGATAAGAGTAATTGTGACCTCGTACTAAAAGTAGACAGTCTCTTCGTATAGTTTTCATTTTTATCATGGACCCGATTTCTATGTGGACAAGCCTACATATGTAGAAATGCGGGCCTCTTAATAAATCTACTTTTGAGATGGATTTTAAGATTTAATTTTTAAGGACATGTAATCTCTAACATGGAGATTATGAATATGAATAAATAAATAAATTTTTAAAGCTAGAAATATAATTTTAGTAAGAAAACATTTGGGCCGTTAGTTTCGATTGTTTTTAGATGGAACACCTACTTGCATCCATCATGGATGCTTTACACTTTTTGGACCGCATATGTAGAAATGCGGTCCAACACGCATGAAACAATTTTCTTTTTAATATATTAACTTCTAAATCAAATTTTTATAAGTAAAAAGTTTATTTAAAGTTGCAACCTTAAAAATCTATATGTTTTATTGTTAAAAACCCTCTAATTGATTATCATGATATCGAGATGTATAAATATAAAAGAAAAAAGTTTTTTTGAGTTTAAAAAATAGTGCATCGTACAACACATTATCTAGACCGTCAATTTTCACAATTTTCATATATTTATAAATCTACTTGATTTTAATCATTTTTGGAGTTTAAAATGTTATAATTAGATATAAAAATATATTTTCAGTTAATTTTTAATATTTTGGTATAAAAAATTACATGATAAAATGCGCCTTAGTTTAGGGTTGCCACCTTTTAGAAACCACACCTTATAAACATTTGATAACAAGGACCTGCTAATGATATCCCAATTTACCAACAATAATATCCATGAAAAAGATAATTGTCACTAACCCCCATGAGCCCATTTCTCTTGTTTGTGTCCATCCTCTTCAATAAGAGAAGATAAACACCAGAAAATCACGTAAGAAATAAAAGAAAAGCATGCAAAGGTGGCACCACCCTAGACTAGAGAGTGTCATTTGTACTCCAGGTGCCATTTTCTCTCTCAACCCTGTCTCTCGCTTAGACAATACTCCACTAGAGATAATATAGTTTTTAATTCTGTTTTTTTTTAACATAGTTTTTAGTTGATAGTTTTAGTTCTGTTCTTGAGATAAAATTTAGGAGAGAAGGTGTTGGGGTGAGAGAAGGATGGGTGTGATAAACAATTTGTTGAGCCTGGTGTTACCTCCTACTGCCATTGTCTTCCTCTCTCTGTGCTACCCAACCTATGCTACTTTGAAGCTCTTCCTGTACCTCATCAGCCCTATTCTTGCTGATGACATGAGAGGGAAGGTTGTTCTCATAACAGGGGCTTCTTCTGGCATCGGGGAGGTAATCTCTCTCTCTCTCTCTCTAAATCTCATATATGAGACATGAATGTTGCATCTCTCTCTCTCATACACACAATCAATGTGAACAGAGTGCAACAGCAAGCTTCATATATGAGTGATGATCTCTCTCTCTCTCTCTCTCTCTCTCTCTCTGTGAACAGAGTGCAACAGCAAGCCTCATATGTGAGAACTTTTGAATCGATGTTTTTTTTGTTTTCAAAGTCCTGGATACAGGATGTAGTGTGTTTGGGGAGAGATGGATAGAACGAGTGCATACAACATTCTCCCGCAGTGGCACCCTGTATTGTATTCCCTCTAATCGGAGCACACTATATACTTGCTCCCTCTAGCACCAACAGACCATGCACTTGCTCGGTTTCAACTTTTCGGATCTACATTCAAATAAACAAGTGAATATTTTAAGTAACAAAAATTCCAATTTTGAATTCTTAAAACATTAGATCTAACTATCTAAAACTTGAAGATGAGATGGTTGAAGGCAAGATGGTTTTGTTAGGGATTATATACTATAAGACCCTTACAAGGAGGTCTTACAAGGAGGTCACAATTAACTATCAGATATGAAATCTGATGGATTGAAGTGTGCCACCATTTTTAAGAATTTTATGTTGGGACTTTGTTGCTTGTCAAGGGTACATTTTTCCGATCAGTCAATATTAATTGGGATCTCTTCATACTAGAAGTAAATGGTTATATTATATATGATCGAATCTGATGAATTGAAGTGTCACAATATTTGAAAGTTTTATAGACTGTCCCCTGACACATTCATCCGATTTTGGTCATGGGGGTAGTATACCAAAAATTGAATGGCGTTATTATTATACAGTTTCTTTTGTTACAACATATGTACCCTTTTTTTCGCTTGGAGGTTAGTATAGATTAGTCGCAGTTGCAGTGTTGTGGAGGTTACATCCACATGAACCTTTGTTAGTTTATTTAGTCTCCGTCTTTGGATACTTGAAGGGGGAGAGAATTAATTTATCGACTAAAAGAGGAAGGTGGAGAGGGGAATATAATCAAATTCTATCCACTTATATGAGGCACAATGCAACAAGAAACCCCATATGCAACAGAGCCTAATTTTCTTTAGTTTTCTTGCATGGGATACCCGAAGTAGTTGGAGAGGGAGGTAGAGAGCACTCTGCATAAATGCCTTCAATCTGTCACCTGAGATAATTTCAGGAGAGAGAGGCCATCTGATTTAAAGTTTAGGGTTTAGGGAGTGAAACAATATGCGACAGCAACAACCCCCACAAGCAAGAGAGAGCACTAAAGCACTGATTCATATTTATATTTATGTTTCTTCTCAGGGAAGTTGAGAGAACTGAATAATTATATTTAGTTTCCACTTATGGGAAAATTGATGCAATATTTGGTGTTGCGGTCTAATAATATGCAGCATATGGCATATCAGTATGCGAAAAGAGGTGCACGTTTGGTTCTTATAGCCAGGAGGGAGCAAAGCCTTCAAGAAGTTGCAGAGAAAGCACGAAGCCTTGGCTCCCCTGATGTCATCGTTGTTCATGCTGATGTAACTAGAGTCGATGAGTGTAAAAGATTCATCGATGAAACCATCAACCATTTCGGTCGTTGTAAGTATCAGAACGAGAGAGAAGCATTGGCAAGATAACAAATATGAGGGAGAGAGAGAGAGAGAGAGAGAGAAATTGGCATTTGATTTGAATGCTTTTTCTTTTCCTGCTGCAGTGGATCATCTTGTTAACAATGCCGGAATTGTAAGTCTATGCATGTTCGAAGAAGTCACCGACATAACCAAGCTTGAACCTGTTATGGTAAGTTGAAAGAGCAGAATTGCTTGACCCATCTTTCTTCTCTTAAAATATCTGCTGGTCACCAGTATCATCTTTCTTCTCTTCAAATCTCTGATGGTCTGTGGTTTATCGTCAGGATGTGAACTTCTGGGGTTCGGTATATCCGACTTACTATGCCATTCCTCACCTACGAAAAGTCAGGGGAAAGATTGTGGCAAATGCCTCTGCTGCAGGATGGTTGCCGACAGCCCGCATGAGCATCTATAATGTAAGAGAGACCAATTCACTCTTTGCTGTGCTCGATAGAGAAACCCATTCACTCTTCACTATGCCTGAGAGAGGCCCCTTCACTCCTCACAATATCAGAGAGAGATTCGTTTTAAGCACAGCTTTTCAACCAATCTTTCTGTAGCTTGAGAATCAGGTTTGGGAAGAAGACAGTAGCAGCTGAATTTTCATAGCACTACCGTCGATTCCTATGTAACCTTGTCAAATAAAAAACATCTTTCTGTAACCTATGGGCATAACAGTTTCTCCTTCACGGTTTTCCAGGCCAGTAAAGCAGCTATGATAAACTTCTTTGACACACTGAGGATGGAAGTCGGACCCGAGATTGGGATCACCATTGCAACTCCCGGTTGGATAGAGTCAGAGATGACTCGAGGGAAATTCCTGAACAAGGAAGGAGAGATGGTGGTCAATGAGGAGACGAGAGAAGTGAGAGAAACTTCACCCTCTCCTATCATAAGGGGGTCCCAGAGTTTCTCAATCCAATTCAAGAATATTGAACTTATCTCTTAAAGAGTTTATGATTCTAATTCCAGATTTCCAACTAAGCTTGGATCTCAAAGTTTCCTTGCCTTAGATTCAAGAGTTCTTACTAAGCTAGGGTCTCAAGGATTTTCTAAGTCTAATTCAAGCAATCTAAGTGAGCTTTAATTTCAAGGATTTTCTCAATGTAATTCAAAATTTTTCATTAAGATCAGGTCTTCGACATTTTGCAACTTCAATTCAAGAATTTAAAAGACCCATACTTTCCGACCCTGTTGCAAAGATTTTCACTAAGCATGGACCTCACTTCATTACATAGGAACTCGTCTGGGCAGGGTACCGAGGCCTGAGTATGCCTAGTTACTCGGCCTACTCCGAGCCGACTCAGCTGAGTTTTAAAAGATTGATGCTCGCTATTCTTCAAAGAAGTCCTAATAATATTGTTTTCGGTCATGCAGGTTCAGGTCGGCCCAATGCCTATTGGGTACACACAGGGATGCGCAGAAGCGATAGTAAAGGGTGCTTGCATAGGAGATAGAAATGTAACAGAGCCATTCTGGTTTAGAGTGATGTTCTGGTATAGGCTATTGGTCCCTGAGGTGATGGAATGGTGTTATCGCTTGCTCTATGTAACTAAACCATGGGGATCAAGGTACCCACCAAGCAAGAAAATCCTGTATGCAACAGGAGCTGAGAAGGTTCTCTACCCCACCTCAATTCAATCAGAAGAGACAAAGTCAGATTAACCAGTGTTTCAATCAATCGCTATGGCCACATCAGAGGCTAGCACCTGTGAGCAATGGTGTAAGAAGCCATAATTATTCGAACCATAGCCATGTTCATAAATAAGAATCATCTAGGTTAGTACCACCGAGCTATTTGTATTTACAGCTAACTCCAGTGTTATCAGTACAGATATAGTTTCCTGAACCTTTGTAGTTTCCTGAACCTTTGTTTCATGTAAATTAGTGGTGAAATATCAGTCCAAGAATGTACAAGGCACTCTGTATGACTCTCAAATGAATAAACGACAGTACAAATGATTCCAAAGTGTTATCGGTAGAGATATAGTTTTCCTGAAGTCGTGAGTGTTGTCCGTAGAGAGAGTTTTCCTGAACTTTGTTTCATGTAAATTAGTGTAATATCTGTCAAAGAATGTACAAGGCACTCTGTATGATTCTCAAATGAATAAAAGATAGTTCAAATTACTCAACTCTCTCTCTCCTCTCTCTCTCTCTCTTCACTAGCTTACTGGTGTGTTATGGGGACGTTATGGGGAAATGTCGATGGGATCAGGAATCCGATGGCGTGTGGTTTGAGGCTGGTGAGTTATGGGGACGTTATGGGGAAATGTAGATAGGGTCGGGAATCCGATGGAGTGTGGTTTGAGGATTAGTGAATAATTTAAGTCTTCCAAGCAGTAGCCATGCATCTGATGATGGGCATCCCCGGTTCATCTCTAGCACCACCGGAGGCGAGTCTCGGCGTACTTCCACAAGTATTATTCCCTATGAGAAGATATAACCAAATTAGACTGGAACAAAAAGAGTATTACGTGTCTGCGTCGAGCTCAACCAATAAAATGGACAGAGAGATCAATGCTTCAATAACATTGGAATCTCAATCAATGAGTGGATACTGCAGAGAATGTGTAAGGTGCAGGAGAGAGAGAGAGGTAAAGGTGTTCCCTAGAAACTAATAAGTGAGTGCAAGGGAAGCATACTTACCGATAGAAAGAACTGAGGCTAGCCTAGGGTGAAAGCCGTTGTGCTAATGCACATCCATTTTTTTGCAACGAGCAATGGCTAGCCTAGCTCGAAAGCCGTTGTGCTAACGCGCAACCGTTTTTTTGCAACAAGCGATGGCTAGTCTTGCGTGAAAGCCGTTACGCTAACGTGCATCAATTACTATCTTTAAGTAATCTAAATTTACCAATTACTGTTTTTAAGTAATCTAAATTTACCGAAATGACTTGATTCTAAGCCACTAAAGATCGAGTTGGTTCAGAACTCACGATCAGGATAGAAGAAAGTTCTAAGATCCAAGGTATGTTTATCAGAGTATTTTTACAGTTTATGTAGTAGTTATGGGAAAATTACCTCAAATTTCGCCAAGAAAAGCTGGAATTGCTTCAGGGTCTCCTTCATAAGAGCTACTTTTTCTTTGTTTGAAGATGAAAGTGAGGCAGTCACCTCCTCAGGGGAGTGGCCTATTCCACTTTGCACAACCTGACGACCATGACAAGGCATTAATGAAGTGAACTTGTGAGACCCAATTTCCAGATTTTTTAATGATTTGAACGAATAGCAATGTCTCAACTGCAAGGAAACAAACTTACATGGTGATCGATGAGGACCTCAGAGATGAGACTTCCATCATCGATATAAGCATGGAGCTCGAACTTACTCCTACCCTTGAATTGAAATCCTTTCACACCGGTCAAGAAGCACTGCAAATTTCAGGAATTGATGATCAATACCATCCACTAAAATAATGGACAGTGATGGAGAGGGGAATCAATTGGAAAAAACAATCCCACTTGCGGGTAACACCCTCCATCACCATCCAATGGGATCACCATCACAAATGATATGATGGATGGTGATGGCTCCAACAGATGATTCTTCCTCATCAACTGGTACATAGTATAGTATTACACATATCAAACATGCAGAACTCATAGTGGGAAAGAATGGGTAAAAGTAAGCAGTTCAAACACAACCATCATCTGAAAACAGAAATGAATACCTTGATTTTGCCTCGAGTACTTGATACATTGTCCTTCATCGTGGTCCACTTTGCCAACAAACAAGCCATATAAGTGAAGGGCATCTCTTTATCTCCGCTGAGAATGATCGGGTGCTCAACTGCATCAGCATCGGTCATCGACGTATCACTTGAGGGAGAATTTAAGGATGGGTTGCTGGCCTCATCCAATATTGTACTACTGGGATTTCTTGAATTTTCCATTAGAACTTCGTGAACAACCCCTCTAGGTGTTAGTGATGTAGATTGATTAGTTCCCGGAGGCAACCTACTTGGGTTCGTCGATTTTTCTATTATAACTTCATGGACAACCCCTCTAGTTGTTGCTGTAGATTGAATAGTTCCCTGATTAAACCTACTTGTGTACGTATATTCTTCCAGTACAACTTCATTGGCAACCCCTCCAGGTATTGCGGATGTAGATTGATTAGTTCCCTGACTTGGCCTAATTGGGTTGGTAGATTCTTCTATTCTGCTCTCATGGACAGCAACTCTAGATGAAGCTGCCATAGGTTGATTAATTCCCTGATTCAGCATAATTGGGTTGGTATTTTTTTCCACTGTTCTTTCATGAACAGCCACTCTAGGTGTAGAAGATGCAGGTTGAGCAATTCTGTTACCCAGCCTACTTGGGTTGGCAGATTCTTCCATTACTCTTTCATGAACAAGCCCTCTAGGGGTTGCCAATGTAGATTGATTAGTTCCCTCATTCAGCCTAGTTGGATTTGCAGATTCTTCCATTACTCTTTCATGTACAAGCCCTCCAAGTGTTGCCAATGTCGAATGATTAGGTTCTTGATTCATCCAACTAGGGTTGGCAGATTCTTCCATTGTTCTTTCATGAACAATCACATGAGGTGTAGCTGGTATTGTATTATTAGTTCCTTGATTCAATCTAGCAGAGGTGCTGAGACCTTCCCTTACACTTTCACGGTTGGAGAAATCTTGCTGGCTTCTCTCGTAGGCAACACCATCTGGGGTAGCTGATGTTGACAGGTGACTTCTCTCATTTGTCCTAGTGTTTGGAGTGGTGAACTCTTCAATTGTTCTTTGACGGGCGACCCGAACCGGTGCAGCTGATGGAGAAACTACAAGATAAAAAAAGATGAAAAAAAAAAAACACTAATCAATGTAAGGAGATGGGTTGCAAAGAATAATAAATCAGAGATGAAATGAGGTGAATTATCAATAAAGGAAGAAAAAAAAAAGGAGACCAAATTGAGTTGATGGAAAAAAGATGCAACATACATTATCTGGAAATTAAATTACCTAATAGTGATACCTTGAGCTGAGGAGAGAGGAAGATTTATATCAGGTGCTGCCCTAGTGCTTGGTGCAGATTGATCGTTCAAAGTATTGGGCGGCCAAGCAGCACGACGAGCTCTGGAAGACAAAGAAGGAGCTTCCTCTCCTCTACGGGATCTGCATGAAATGCAAAGCTACATTGAGACAAATATTACAAAGAGACTAGGAGACAACTTCAGATGAATGGGAGCAAATAATTCTTTAAACTCCATTTTTCAGAAAATAATAATTATTTGAATTTTCTCTTTATGACTAGTAACTATTGGCATAATTTACTACACAAATGCGTATAGGTAATTGCAGGAGATGAACTGAGTAGCCAACTAAGTTATTATAAAATATGGAGTTAGAGCTGTTTTGAATGAATTATCTTTAGAACAAAATTAGTCATGGCCCTACTCAAAATAGAAAATAAGAAAAAATAATCGCACTACAAGATCTATTTAAATTCTTATCGACATTGGATGCCATCGAAGTCGTTTTTTATGTCCAAGAGACTTGGAATGTTTTCGTAAAACCTATGAATGCAAAATATGAGACTAAATCTGTATTCTAATATATAAGTCTACATAAATCAACAAACTCAATAGAAACAATCTTTGTGATTCATTCTAACCTTTGACCTCTCGGTGGCTTATTTACTTCCTCAACAAGCCTCTGGCGTGCTGCCTCCAGATGGTCAACAAATCCTCCTAGAACTTCAATTACTTCAGGCACCAGAATTAGAAGCCCTCGTCGTACGTGTACATTACAAATTGCAATCTACAAAATTTAAGGATAAAATTTTTAAAATTTAATCAAATGGAAAACACAGTTACAAACATTACGAGAAGCATTACCCTATCAGTAACGAAAATAGTGCAAATTCCATATTATTCCATACACCACTCGAGTGATGAGATTTTGTGATAATAGCAGAGAAAATCCAAACCTATTTGGCAATCAATAAATGTGAACAAGTTTTTTTTTTTTTTGAGAAAGTTAACCTTGAATTGATAGAGAAGTTTGGGCTATCCACAAACACGGAAGCTCCAAGTACAAGGAGTAAAAAAGTAGAAAGGAAACAAAAATCCTTCTTATTGAAGGTTTTAATAATCAAAAGCAACCTAGAATAAGACGCCATTCCAAAAATAGTAATCCAAAGGCCTTCCATAGTTGCTGCTGCCGCTTCCTTAGCTAGAGTGTTTGCCGCCTGGTTTGCTTCCCTCCAAGTATGCTTTCATAAGACGAGTATATCCCTGCAAAGGTGGTTAATCTCATAAAAAAGGTGAACCAAATGCCAGGGAGGGGAGGGAGGGAGGGGGAGGGAGGGGAAGGGGGGGGGGGGGAAGAAGAGCCAAATGCTCAAGTGATTAAGTTCTTGGAATCTCCCTCCATCGTAAGGGAATAAATTCCGAGATGTTGCATAAGCTTGAGGCATTCCAAAAGTGCTATCGCCTCCTCTTCCGTAGAGTTGGTATGACAGATGGACTTTGAGAAAGAGGCGACAGTTGAGCCGGTGATCACTGAGAATCATGCCAACTCCTGATGGCCCTGGATTTCCGAGGGAGCACCCGTCGAAGTTGAGCTTGAAACTGCCCAGGGCAGGGGGTCTCCACAAAGCTGCCCGAGATGGACGCTTTTGGTTGTGCTGAAGGGCAGCCTCCCAATTCTGAAAAAAGGCGGCAGCGGAAACCCCTTTAAAACTTCAGTGATTGGTCGCCCAAAACAACACTGAGGATTTGAGCTTGACAAAGGTGCCATACCATGAAGTATGCTCCCCCCAGAAGATTTGATTGTTTCGTTCTATCCAAATAACCCATAAGATGGCTGCCACTGCGGTTTTTTGCAGAAGAATGCCTGCCTATGCACAAAGGAGAGGCTGGAAAGAAGAGAAGATGTGAGGTACAGTAGCCGGGAGTACCCACCGAACTTTAAAAAGGCGTAGAAGTTCTTCCTATAGGTTATAAGCGAATGGACAGTGCAGGAACAGGTGAGCATTGGTCTCCCTGTTTGCCATGCGCAGAGCACATCGATTGGGTAAAGGAATTCCCCTTCTTTGAGCTGATCAATAGTGAGCACCCTATGGGAGAGGGCCAACCACATGAAGATCTGTATTTTAAGAAGAGCGAAAGATGACCAAGCCTGCACTACAATTGAAAAGGGGGCAAATGGAAATGTGGGAGACTCTGTCAATTTTTGGTAAAGAGACGAGACCGAGAAGGATCCCTGAGGCTACATTGGCCCAGATTATGCGGTCTACACCTTGAGTGGCTATTCAGCAAGCTTGAAGTTCGGCCGAGAGGTCTGCAAATTGATTGAATTCAACGTCATTTATTGCTCCTCTGAAAATTGGGTTCCAGGAGCGTATTGACCCAATCTCCATCATTTCCTCTGCCACTGTAGTATCTTGAAATCGAGCCAGAGAGTAGAGAGGTAGGTATCTCTCCATAATGGGAGAATGACCGAGCCAGAGATCTTTCCATAATAGAATGTGGTTACCTGCTCTATGGTGAAACCGAGTTGCAGATTTGAAATACGGGAAAGTGGAACAGATGGATCTCCAAATCCCCGACGACCTGTAGTTGGTAGTGCAAGTGGGTAACCAAGGAGAAGTGGGGAAGTGATATTTGCGCCTCAGTATATCGATCCACAACTGTTCTCTTAGAGTAACCAAGCGCCAGCACCACTTCCCTAATAACGCCATAATGTGCATCCCCAGATTTCCAATCCCGAGACCTCCCCACCTCTTCGGTTGACATAATTTGTCCCAAGAGATAAGGTGGAATTTGTGATTCTCTGCCTCCCCAGATCAGAAGAATATGCGCATTAACTATTCCAGGCGTGAACTGATTGCTACTGGTATGTGGAAAAGAGACATTTGGTAAACTGGCGTATTGGCCAAAGTGGCCTTGATTAGAGTAAGCCTACCCCCTGGGGATAGAAACCGGCCCTTCCATCCTGCCCGTTTTCGATCAACCTTGTCCATGATGTGGGACCACTTCCTCTTCTTAGGCTTACCAATGCAAAGTGGCAGTCCTAGGTAATTGAAGGGGAGTTTTTCAACCCTACAACCCCAACTATCGGCAAAATTCTTGAGAGTAGGAAAGTCCAGTGCAATGCCATATTTGGACCACGGTGGAGAAAGAAAGAACGGAAAAATTGAGGGATTGAATACGGAGTCACCCACAACCAATCAAAAAGCTAGAGTATCTTCCCCTACAGAGTGCTGGCTATGTCACAGTGGATGAAGACATGGCTGTTGGTCTCTTACTCCACGGTGCACATGGTACATCTGTTAGGCAATTGCAGTCCCCTTCTTTGGAGTTGGTCTATAGTTACGGCTATTTCGGAAATGGTGATCTAGTTGAATATTTGGAATTTGGGAGGGACAAGAGGCAACCAGGCTTTGGCCACAATGGAAGGGTGTGAAGTGGCAAGGTAGAGGGCAATTGAAGAGTGACATAGAAGGATGAGACAGAGAACATGCCAGAAGGGGCTGGGGACCAGTAATCTTATCACTCCCTAGGGGTCGGAGGAAGGTTGAACGTGGAAGGGATGAGAGAGCCAGGAATTCTGGGACCTCTTGGTCCGACAGGGGTCATCTAAAAGTGGGATTCCACACCCTACCAGGGCCCAAGGCCTGGAAACTGTCTGCTACTTTGGCCTGGGGGTTCGATGCCCAAGTGATCACGCTCTTGGAATCTCCCTCAATCGTAAGGGAATAAATTCCGAGATGTTGGATAAGCTTGAGGCATTCCAAAAGTGCTATTGCCTACTCTTCCGTAGAGTCGGTATGACTGATGGACTTTGAGAAAGAGGTGACAGTTGAGCTGGTGATCACTGAGAATCATGCCAACTCCCGATGGCCCTGGATTTCCCAAGAACCACCCGTCGAAGTTAAGCTTGAAACTGCCCAGGGCAGGGGGTCTCCACAAAGCTGCCCGAGATGGACGCCTTCGGTTGTGCTGAACGGCAGCCTCCCAATTCTGAAAAAAGGCGGCAGCAGAAACCCCTTTAAAACTCTAGTGGTTGGTCGCCCAAAACACCACGGAGGATTTGAGCTTGACAAAGGTGCCATACCATGAAGTATGCTCGCCCCAGAAGATTTGATTGTTTCGTTCTATCCAAATAACCCATAAGATGGCTGCCACTGCGGTTTTTTGCAGAAGAATGCCTGCCTATGCACAAAGGAGAGGCTGGAAAGAAGAGAACATGTGAGGTACAGTAGCCGCGAGTACCCACTGAACTTTAAAAAGGTGTAGAAGTTCTTCCTATAGGTTATAAGCGAATGGACAGTGCAGGAACAGGTGAGCATTGGTCTCCTTGTTTGCCATGCGCAGAGCACATCGATTGGGCAAAGGAATTACCCTTCTTTGAAGCTGATCAATAGTGAGCACCCTATGGGAGAGCGCCAACCACATGAAGATCTGTATTTTAGGAGGAGTGAAAGATGACCAAGCCTGCACTACTATTGAAATGGGGGCAAATGGAAATGTGGCAGACTCTGTGTCAATTTTTGGCAAAGAGAGGAGACCGAGAAGATCCCTGAGGCTACATGGGCCCAGATTATGCGGTCCACAGCTTGAGTGGCTATGCAGCAAGCTTGAAGTTCAGCCGAGAGGTCCGCAAATTGATTGAATTCAACGTCATTTACTGCTCATCTGAAAATTGGGTTCCAGGAGCATATTGACCCAGTCTCCGTCATTTCCTCTGCCACTGTAGTATCTTGAAATTGAGCCAGAGAGTAGAGAGCTGGGTATCTCTCCATAATGGGAAAATGATCAAGCCAGAGATCTTTCCAGAAGAGAATGTGGCTACCTGCTCTAGGATGAAACCGAATGCCAGATTTGAAATACGGGAAAGCGGAACAGATGATCTCCAAATCCCCGATGACCTGTAGTTGGTAGTGCAAGTGGGTAACCAAGGAGAAGAGGGGAGGTGATATTTGCACCTCAGTATATCGATCCACAACTGGTCTCTTAAGAGTAACCAAGCGCCAGCACCACTTCCCTAATAATGCCATAATGTGCATCCCCAGATTTCGAATCCCGAGACCTCCCCACCTCTTCGACTAACATAATTTGTCCCAAGAGATAAGGTGGAATTTGTGATTCACTGCCTCCCCAGATCAGAAGAATCTGTGCATTAACTGTTCTAGGCGTGAACTGATTGCTACTGGCATGTGGAAAAGAGACATTTGGTAAATTGGCGTATTGGCCAAAGTGGCCTTGATTAGAGTAAGCCTAACCCCCAGGGATAGAAACCGGCCTTCCATCCTGCCCGTTTTCGATCAACCTTGTCCATGATGTGGGACCACTCCCTCTTTTTAGGCTTACCAATGCAAAGTGGCAGTCCTAGGTAATTGAAGGGGAGCTTTTCAGCCCTACAACCCCAACTATCGGCAAAATTCTTGAGAGCAGGAAAGTCCAGTGCAATGCCATATTTGGACCACGGTGGAGAAAGAAAGAACGAAAAAGTTGAGGGACTGAATGCGGAGTCACCCACAACCAATGAAAAAGCTGGAGTATCTTCCCCTACAGAGTGCTGGCTATGTCACAGTGGATGAAGACATGGCTGTTGGTCTCTTACTCCACGGTGCACATGGTACATCTGTTAGGCAATTGCAGTCCCCTTCTTTGGAGTTGGTCTATAGTTACGGCTCTTTCGGAAATGGTGATCTAGTTGAATATTTGGAATTTGGGAGGGACAAGAGGCAACCAGGCTTTGGCCGCAATGGAAGGGTGTGAAGTGGCAAGGTAGAGGGCAATTGAAGAGTGACATCGAAAGATAAGACTGAGAACACGCCAGAAGGGGCTGGGGACCAGTAATCTTATCACTCCCAAGGGGTCGGAGGAAGGTTGAACGTGGTAGGGATGAGAGAGCCAGGAATTCTGGGACCTCTTGGTCCGACAGGGGTCATCTGAAAGTGGGATTCCACACCCTACCAGGGCCCAAGGCCTGGAAACTGTCTGCTACTTTGGCCTGGGGGCTCCGGTTACAAGGAATAGGTGGGTAAGCCTTTCCATGACGGGTGCCTGGCCTAGCCATAAATCGGACCAGAAGAGGACTTTGTGACTAGCCTGAGGATGGAAGCGAATATTTCTAACGAAGAGAGGGGAAAGCTGCGAAGCAAAGATCTCCAATCCCCCGAAGGATTGGGGGTGGCCCTACCATTGGGAAGCCAGGCTGACTCCCACAGTATTTATGTTGGATGATGTCTTCCAAGAGGTGATTCTCCATCATTTACCAAGAAGGGCTAGATTTTTGGATTTTAGATTGTGGATGGCTAAGCCTCCTAGGGACTTGGGAGTGCAAACTTTGGCCCCTAGAGATGAGGTAGTACTTTATTCCCCCTACCCAGAGAAAGTTCCTCATGAGTTGCTCTAGGCAGTTGGCCACCGAGGATGGCATATGGAAGAGTGATGCAGGGAGAAATAATAATAAACGAAAAAATAAAAATAAAATAAAAATTTGAGGGAATATACCCTCTCTCAAGGTCTGCGAGGGAATCCACTCCCAAAAAGATCTTTTCACAAGATCAACTTTACTCAATTCCAATCACTCTCTTTACAATGAGGGACATCCTTCCCTTAAATATAAAATAAGAAATTAAAAAAAAAACCATAAAACTCTCTCTCTCTAACTTCCACGTTTTTTCCCAAGCTCCCTATTTTCTCTCTGTTCATCTCCCTATTTTCTCTCTCACGTGAATCTCTAGGTGATCCTCCACAAAATCTCTTCCTAAATTTTAAGTCCATAAGTAGGACTTCTTAAGATAAGCCCAAGTTATCCCAAGTGTATATCCTGAAAACCCAACCATGCTTAATTTATCTATTTAAAACCAACTACGCCTAGCTTATCTTAAAATCCAACCCTTTGACGAATAAAAAAAAACTCAATACCGATGCAGCACTTCCTATCCCTAAGAAAAACTAAAAACAAAATAATAAAACTAAACATTTTGAATTTTTTCTTATCCTTATCTGCATCATTCTCTCCAGGTTGGAAGAAGCTCAACCTCGAGCTTATCGAATTCTCTCCAGGTTGGAAGAAGCTCAACCTCGAGCTTATCGAATTCTCTCCAGGTTGGAAGAAGCTCAACCTCGAGTTTATAGAATTCAAATCTTTTAGAGGTCTTCACAAAAGCTAGTGATGGAGTCCCACCAAGCGCTTCAATACTTTTTCTTCAATAAATAAACGATATATCCAACACAATTTATAGTGGAAGTTTGAGGCACCAAACTCTGAAATATCAAATTGAATCTTGATTTCTCCTTTAGGCTCACAGGGTGGTGTTTCATAAGCTGCAATAAACATATCATTTTCTTCACAATTGATTTTCAATATTTCTTGCGTGTTTGGGTATCAAGATCGTCTTTTGCATCGAGATCTACCTCTTCATATTCTTTTTCCTCTTGTTACAATATACTAAGTCGATATTGTTATATTAATATGCGAAGGTCTTCCATGTATCCATTGAATTGTCGATTTTGTAGATATTGTTATACTGATCTGCGAAGGTCTTCCATGTGTCTATCGAATTGCTCGAGTCAATCCAAACACTCCATATAGTGAATAGATTTTTTATCTCAAGGCTATGATACCAACTGATGCAGGAAGAAATAATAACAAACCAAAAAATAAAAATAAAATAAAAGTTTGAGAGAATATACCCTCTTTCAAGGTCTGCAATGGAATCCACCCCAAAAAGATCTTTTCACAATATCAACTTTACTGAATTCCAATCTCTCTCTTTACAATGAGGGACTTTCCTTTAAATACAAAATAAGAAATAAAAAAACCCATAAAACTCTCTAACTTCCACGTTTTTTTCCCAAGCTCCCTATTTTTTCTCTCTCTCCATCTCCCTATTTTCTCTCTCACATGAATCTCTAAGTGATCCTCCATAAAATCTCTTTCTAAATTAAGTCCATAAAAGTAGGACTTCTTTAGATAAGCCCAAGTTATCCCAATTGTATATCCTGAAAACCCAACCATGCTTAATTTATCTCTTTAAAACCAACTAAGCCTAGTTTATCCTAAAATCCAACCCTCAATCCCAGTGCAGCACTTCCTATCCCTAAGAAAAACTAAAAAATAATAATAACACTAAACATTTTGAATTTTTCCTAATCTTTATCTGCATCAAAGAGGGACATCTGGAAAAATATGATGTTGGAGAGGGTGGCCTTGATGAGAGTTAGGCAACCTGCAGATGATAAAATTCTGCCCTTCCATCCCTCGATTCTGCAATCGAATTTGTCGATAATGTGGCTCCATTGACTAGTTTTGGGCTTGCCAACGCACAGCGGCAGACCCAAGTAGGCCGATGGCAAGTCTTCCGCTTTGCACCCCCATCTATCGCCTAAGGTAGATAGTCCATGATTCTCTAGTGGCACATTTTCATATAATAGATTCTCTAGGGACACATTCTCAATAAATGTAAACAAGTTCAGAATATCATATAGAAGATTCCTTTTACATTGTAAAGAAGTCGCATGTTTTCTGAACTACACAAGTGCTGCTTATTTAACAGGGAGTCAGAAGAGAAAGTTATAATTCTTAGAACCAGAATAAAAATACTCAAGCATCAAGAAGCCTAAAGCATTTCTAACCTCAAAAAGAAAAGAAAAAAACAAACATCCACACCCATTTAAAACAAGAAGTCCAAACTTGGTTGAAAAACCATAATTCACAACCATTGAGCTTTCGAAATGGCAATCAGAAAACATATAGGTTCCCTCAATGCACTAGAAATTTGCTCGGTGCTTATAAATACAAGAAAAAAATGGCTGACTGTCTTCCTAGGTCCTTCTTACCTCTACTCTCCCGAAGTATTTACTTTCTAAAATTATTTGCTGAAAATTGGGAAAGCAATACCCTTCTATAATAATCCATAATACTTCTCTCTGTATCAGTAATAGATTCAAGGCAAGTAACCATGCCCTAAAACTGGGTGATGAACTTACAAAATAGACAAAAATGTTGACTATCACTTAATTTGATATCGAGAGGTAGAATAGTACTAATTATTAGAAATCCCACATGCTGCGATGAAGGGCAGCATATCAGACCTTTAAACCAGCTGGAGCAAGAACCATAAGCTCTTTAATAGGGCGATATTCGATACCAAATATACGTTGTACACCATCTGTCATTGATAATTTAAGGCACCTCTTAGGACCAGCAGCAACTTCCTTATACCTGTCTTTAAGAGGAGAACTAATGTTAACTGTTTCATCAACCTGTCAAGAAAATTTAAACCAATGTTAGACACATATATACTTCCTTCTGAAGTTGTAAAGCAACTTGAATCTCAAATCACAAGAGAAATATTCCGACATACACACTCAGACATGCGTACACAGTGCACACCCACATATGGATGTATGAAAATTCGCAGATTATAGAAGCCGAACAAATATATGTAATGGACATATACATGCACACGCACACACACACACGCGCACACGCACACACACACACACGCACACGCACACGCACACACACACGCACACGCACACACACACATAATAATTCTAATAATAATAATAATAGTAGAAATCAGTGCATATCAAAGAGATAGACATTCACATTAACATTATTTGTTTTCTTAGTATAGTGTTGCTTTATGGTAGCTATAGCACAGGCCATAAGGAACAAATTGGTTTGAGCATTAAGCGAACTCTCTCGTAAACTGAATATTCTATATGTTTTACCTTTTTCTAGGGCAAAAACAATAGGTGGAATCAGTGGTTTAAAACCTAGATCAGGGGGCAGATTGATCACCCATTGAACAGATTTTGATCGCCCATCCAGGCCAGAAAGCACCTATTCTACGGTGCAGGAGTCCGATCCAAATAAGATTTGAGCTGATATTTTCAAAAAATAAAAAATTTGAAAAAATCATAAAAAAATAAAATAGGTGTGAAATGGGCAATTCGGCCAATCCAGATAGCCTAGCTCCTTGACATACTTGCCTAGTTCACTGATAGAACCAAGTGAGTGTACCAAAATCAGACCAATTCCCAGTTCTGACTAGGAACTTGGTCGGTCCCCACAGACTCCCAACATGGATCAGCATTAGTAAAACACTGGGTAGAATGGCTGGGCCAAGTCAAGCAAAAAGCCCCAAAGAACATGTCGTGCAAAAGTCAGTTCTACAACCACCATAATGAAATATTATAAAGAGACACATACCAGTGCAGATTTACTTTATCCCACAATATCCATACTATAGGAACCAAACAATATAGCATTATGTTTTGAAATAAGCCTTTCATCATGAATAGATTGTCTTTTTTTGGGGTAATAAGAAAATCTCATTATAATTAAGATTTTTCTTTGTTTTTGCATTATATATAATGATTGAGAACCAGGAGAATGTGGGCAATAGAATTTGCTCAGTGAGGCATCAGCTTTCTTTTTGTTGGTATTTCATAACATTAACATTGATGATTATGGACAAATAACAACTTAAATAAAATAAGATTATTGAATGTGCATTCTCTAGCGCTTCACTCTCTCATTCTCTGTAGAATTGCTTGGATGTGCGCTGTGTTCATGTCCCTCTATGTTATCGAATTTGAAAACTAACACAAATGCATTTCTAAATCTCTACTCCAATAATCAGAATTCATACCAGCGAAATCAAGATAGCCCAACATATACAACTCTAAATCTCGAACTTTCATAGTTCACAAAGCACATCATAGCAACAACTGCTAATCTCCCATGAAAAAAAAAATTCTCTCCTCTATCTTTCAATGGTGCTTCAAGCTTTCAGACCTAAGATTCTAACAAAAACTGTTCAAATAGCAGTGAGATAAGACAAATAAGAATTCAATGAATTTTACCTGCAAAATAAAAGGGCCAGCAATCTCTGTGCCATGCATGGCATTGACATTAGAGGGAAGCACACCATTACCAACATCATTCATATCAGCCACAAGGAACTGAGCGAAGTAAAGCTCGGCCTGCTCGAGACTACTCTTCTGAGAAAACCCTATTTGAGAAGCCATTAAACCCTCAAAACAAGACTCCAGCCACTCTCTCTTGAGCTGGAGCCCCATTCCCCTAAAAACCACATCCACTGAACCAGAACGGCCGGAAAACTCACCAGGACTCGAATGAATTCCGGTATCTCGATTTTGGCCAGAGAAAGGGACGGAATTTGATTCTACGGCAGTGAAATTTTGATTTTGGCCAGAAAAATCACGGGAATCGAAATGGGTTCCAATGAAATTTTGATTTTGGCCAGAAAAATCACCGGAATCGAAATGGGTTCCAATGAAATTTTGATTTTGGCCAGGATAATCGCCAGAATTTAACTGGATTCCGGTGAAATTCTGGTTTAGATCATCTTGAAGAGGAGGAGAGGGGGCGGAGAGTGATTGTTCGACGTCCATGTATTCATCGTCTGAAATTTCAAAGGCACTGCTCTGTGCTTGGGGTGGTGGTTGGGGATTTGAACGAATTGGGGTTTCAATGCCATCGACTGCTTCTTCTTCTTCTTCTTCTTCTTCTTCGTCTGAAGAGACCTGCAATCTCAGTCGCCTCCTTCTCGCCATTTTTCCGAGTGGTGCTTCATTACCCTCCCGCTCCTCGCTTAAAGTCCTCTCTCTCTCAGGGTTGGGTTTTCCCTCCAATTTTCTTTTGGTTCTGAGGTCCACGAGAGCATGCGATGCATTTACTCCGTCGCTCGAAATGAAAAAAGTTCAGGTTGCACCCTTAAAATATAGAATTAATATGCATCTCAAAAATCCATAAGAAAAAATTATTTTAATTTTAAAAAAAATTTTCATTGATTATCTCAATATCGAGATGTACAGAAAAAAAGATTTGGAGTCTCAAAAATAGTACACCTTGCAACACATTATCTGGACCGTCCACTTCCAAGATTTTCATGTTGTTACAAATCTACTTGATTTGAATCATATTTTGAGTTTAAAATTTTATAATTAGAGATAAAAATATATTCTCAAGCAATCATAAGAATTTTTAATATCAAAATTATATTTTATAAAAAAATTTGGAGGAGCACCTTTTTTTTTTTTATTGTTTAACATTGCAACCTTATGCAAACCACACCCCTCTCAAAATAGTCTTTTTACGGAGATCTTTTTTATGTGCAATTTTATGGTCCATAATAAGAGATTAATATTTTTGAAATAATTTATAGAAGGTTGCAATATTATACTATAGAAATAAGGTGTACACTAAAAATCCAATTGAAACTAGTGTTTCAAAATTGGAAAACCACCCAATTGATGATCTTGAATTCGAGATCTAAAGATATAAACAAAGAGAATTTCAAACTCTAAAAATAGTGCATCTCATAAGAAGTTACCTAGACCAACTATTTCCAAGAATTTCATGTATTTATAAATCTACTCAGTTTGCTCCATTTTTGAAATTTAAAAATTTATAATTAGGATAGAACATGAATTTTCAAGCCATCGTAAGATTTTCAACATTGAAACTACATCTTTTGTAAAATTTAGAGTTACACCTTACTAGTAGTATAAGTTGGGCACCTTGTACAAACTACATAATTATTTATTTCTCTTGGGTTCATTAAAAAACAGGTTAAATCAACTTGGACCGTCTAATAGGGGGTGGCAATGGGCCGGGCCACCGTTGGCCCTAGTCCCCATAGGGTTGGCCTAGGCCTACCAAGGCCAAAAGGCCTAGTCCAAGCCCAAGCCTAGCCCTAACCCTATCAGAACGGGGCCGGGTTGGGCCAAATAAAATAGAGAATAAAACAAATGAAAAAATAAATAGAGGGCCCAATTGGGTCAAACCAGGCTGGCCTTCACCAAAGCCCAATTCTACCCTTGGACCGTGGTTGCCCAGCCCTCAAGGCCCATATCATGGAGCATGTCCTAATTTTTTAGGCTCGAGTTGACTGAGCCTAGCCTTAGCACACTACAAGTTTATTTGCAGCTAGCGTGGCCTATAGTTTTCTTCACTTCAACAACAAGGATATTTTGTTATTATTCTTCAACAATGGATGTTATTCTTCAATAATGGATGCACCCGGGTCTTCCAAAGATTGGCACTGTTCTATGGCGATCTTTATGGACCAGCATAATATGGAATATATAGAGAGAGCACAATAGGAGAATTTTTGAAGGCGTGTTCTTATATTTGGATGTTTTGAAATCAAATATTTTAGCAATGGCAATAGATTGGCTCTCGATGCATAAGGAGTGCACTAGTATACCCAAAAGTCAGATTTTTCAAAATCCGTTGGAAGTGGCAAAATTGTGTCCATACTCCAATTTAATTAGAACTACTTGGAAACCACATCCTTTGAATGGTTGAAGCTTAATTTTGATGATAGTTGTGTGGGCAACCCAGGTCCAGCTAATTTTGGAAGACTCATTAGAAACCACAATAGTGGTATTTTAAAAACATTCTCAAGTTCATATGGGAATACTAATGAGGCTCAATCGAGAGGAATTTTGAAAGTCCTAAAAATAATTATGAAGTTAGATAGTCATAAGACAATTGAAAGGGACTCCTCTAACGTTATTACGTGGGCAAAAAGAGCGATAAAGCCGCCCCGATGAAATTTATAGGTTTTTTTTTTTTTTTTTTTTTGACTTGTGCATTACTATAAAATGTAATGTTGAGGCTGATGTTCTTGCTAAAAGGGGAGTATACCCATCTTTGCTGGTGATTTTTTTTGTATTTCTTTTTGAGGCGATGAAATTTGTGGTCAACTTTCCAAAAAAAAGCAAAGATTTTTTGCTGTTGCTCAAAAGCCTCATTCAACTTTTGCTATGACATTGCCACCCCAAGCCACCTATCACATTGCAGCCTAATGGACTTTTATGTTGATGCAACGTGAACTAGAAAAAGGGTTAGAACGGTATGATAAATCAATGTGGGTTGTTTAATAATGATGAATAATTAGGGAAAAATACCCCTAATTATTCCTCGTTAGGAACATTGAATAGTACAGTCCTTGTTTCTGATCCTCAATAAGCAGAGGTTTTTTCATCATTTAGTTGGGGCTCTTGGAGAATAAGATTATATGCCCCTTATTCCTTCTCCTTCTCAATCCTGCAATTGAATATTTTTATTTTTTTATGAGATATCTAAGTGAAACAAAAAGAAGAAATAATCCGCAAATGTTAATTGAGATAATTTGATCGCTTTAATGATTTTGTAAAAGGTTTCAACCTTTTACATGGTATTTTCTCTTATCATTTGAATTAGATGGTAATCTTTGAGCTTTGAATTTTTCCTTCCTATTTTAATTTCTCAATAGAGCTTTTCATTGTGCATTCCTATTTATTTTTTGTTGTGAGTGATATGAAATTCCTTCATTTCAATGTTTATTTTCTTAAAAAAAAAAAAGAATTTGTATGGTCTTAAATTATCTTGATTTTTAGTTAGCTTTTTTTTTTTAATCTTTTTGTTGTAATATACATTGAGCTGGGTTAAGAGGTATGCTGCATTTCTTACTGTAAATTCTTTATAGATATAAGGGAAATGATCAGAAACACACTTTAATTTTGGGCTAATTAAAAAAAAAAACTATACTTTTTTAAATTTCATTCACACTTTTTTTTTTTTTACTATTTATATTAATTTTTTATCAAAATAATGATGTCGCAATGTTTAAAGGCACGGCTGCAGTTAAAGTGGCATGAGACCGAGAGAGGTATCACGATGCTCAAAATCGTAATAGTCTTTAGAGGAGTGGAGAGATTGAGGAGAGAGAAATCCAACAAAGATAGAGAGAGAAAGCGATTGGAGGATAAAGTCACTCCCTTTCTCATGGTGGACGATAAAAATGAGAGAAATATTATTGGATTCGAATGGAGCTTAAGACTACGAAGAGAAGCATGGAGAGAGAGATCATTCATCGGAGAAGCTGCCAGCCACTGAACCATGCTCTTCAATTCAGGGTCTCCACCAAATTCTCCACATCCTCAATTTCCAGTCGCAATTCCTACATTTTCACAACAGTTCAGACCTTGACCATTCTTTAATTTAGCTTCTTCAAACAAGTATCTGATTAATTTAGCTTCTTCAAACAAGTTTCCGACTTGAGTAGATCGTCACTTTCTCTATCTTTGATGGATTTCTCTCCCTCTCTTTGTACCCTTTGCTTCTCAATTCATGGTTGTATCCGACAAAGACTATCACGGTTCTGTAATACGACTACCGTAAAAGCTAATTTGAAAAAAAAAAAACCAAAAAAAACAGAAACAGAAGAGAAGGGCATAAAAGCTAATTTGGAAAAAATAAAATACCAAAAAAAACTATCTTTGTTGGATTTCTCTCCCTCTCTCTGTACCCTCTTCTTCTCAATTCATGGTTGTATCCGACAAAGACTATCACGGTTCTGTAATACGACTACCATAAAAGCTAATTTGAAAAAAATAAAATACCAAAAAAAAAAAACAGAAGAGAAGGGCATAAAAGCTAATTTGGAAAAAATAAAATACCAAAAAAAAGGAAACAGAAGAGAAGGGCGTGTATCTGAATGATAATTAAGTATATTTCTGGTATCTGATAATTCCAGAGATGAACTAGGCTTCTTCTGATATAGTCAATGGTACGGCTGCATGGATTCTTGTCTCTGAGCATAAGGCTCTGTGCCTTCATCAAGACTTGGCAGCGACCAAAGAAGAGGCTCTCTCTCCATGATCCTTCGCTTCAAGCAAGCATGGTCTCCAAGATTGCTGAAGCAGAGATAATAACACCGGGACAGAGAAAAAGGATTCAAGAACTCGAGGCTCAGCTCAAGGATGCAAACCACACTAAGAGTACTCAGGAATGAATTGATGAAGATTTCATCTGAAGGCTTGGCAAGATCAATTGGCCATTGGATGAGCAGATTTCGAAAGGAAAGGTTGCTCTCTGTGAGGCTAAATGTCATGAATAAATGCTTGGAACCTCAAGTTCCTATTCAATCCCTCTTGATTCTAATACCAAAGTGGCCAACTTTGACCCAAGGATCGCAGACGGTACCTTGTTATGTAGGAACTCAACCACTGAGACTTTATTACAGGACAATTCAACTGCGGCTGACTGTGTTCATCCCAATGACCCAGGTTTTGCCTAGATAATTGTGAGGACAAGGAACCTAAGCTATCTCATTCTTACTTTCTCCTAAGAATTTACAGAGGAGGGAGAAACCATTTGCATGAGAAAGACATACATTTACAGTGTTCAAGAAAGAAACGCAAGGGGAGAAACCCAATTTCAGCTTTAAAGAGGAAAAAAAACCCATTTGCAGTTTTACAGAGATTAACATTGGCAAAAGATAGAGTGAAGCTGGACAGCCATTGCAACAGAAGATAGAGAAACTGATGAACAATATAAGAGGAAAACATCTCATGACATATATATATATTTTTTATTTATTTATTTATTTTTATTTTTTCTTTTGTTGCTGGAGAGAGATGCATTCATGGCTTTTTTGTTGTTAAGAGAGATGTACCTATGGTTTGCATAAAGTTGTGGTTCAGGAACAAAAGTGAAAGTGTAGAACAAAGCCCCAGATGATGCATCCTTAAATAATGACTCCTGTGATGCCCAAAAAAAATCTAATATGAAATTTGAAGCTTCAGAATGGAATGGTGTTGAATTGGCAGATCTGTGAGCACATGAAAGTGAAATATCCAGATAATGTGTACGAAATATCTAGATAATGTGTAGCAAGATACAATATTTTTAAGACCTGTAGTATCTTTTTT